AGGGAGGGCGCGCAGCTGTCCCGGGGCAGACAGCTGGCAGCGGACATCGAGGGCGCGGGCGGGGAGAGGCGCGGGGCTCCCGGGGACAGGCCCCAGCGGTGGCTTGTCTGGCAGCCCCGGTCACAAAGCCAGGGCACCCGGAGCTGTCCGCCTGGGTGACGCGCAGCGCGCTCGGCGCGCTCAGGGGTTCGCGAAGGAAGCGGATCTTATGGGATGTTCCCCCCCTGGCAGACTGGCTTCCCCAGGTTGCGGTGGGCGAGCTGAGCGCGCTACCGCAAGGGGAGGGGCACAACCCAGGCCCCCCGAGGTGGGAGGCGGATGCTTTCAGACGACCCGCTCGTCCTCCCTCTCAATAAAGAGGACAAGGACGTGGCACTGCAAGACAGGTGGCAGTTTTTCCTCCTGCAAAGGCTGGACGGACTCATCTTTATATTTAGAGGATGATGCTCCCCCAGGGCCAGGCTACTTCCCAGGCTACCACTTACCAGAGCCTAATGAGGCACTTCTATTTATACCTTCCCCCCCCCGCCAGCCCCCCCCCCGCCGTGTATGGGACACGCCTTTCACATTTTCTAGGATTTGGATCTACTTTTGGTGAAGGGGGGGGGTCACAGGAGGTCATCCAGGCGGGGCCTGCCTCACGCCCTCACCCCCCAGGACAAGAAGAGCTCCGACCTGGCTTTGGAAGGCCCCAGGGAAAACGATTTTCTGTGGTGAACTCAGGGACATGCTTTGAGGGATGGAGTGCCAGCCAGAATGGAATCATTCGTTTTTCTGATGTGCCTAAGAGTCCCCAAAATAGTCGGAATTCCCATTTGGTGTGGAACTCAGGAACGGGGACAGCTGTGGGCTCTCCTGGGAAACACAGAAGCACATGGGACTCCCCGCAGCCGACATCGGGACAGCGCTTCCTGCCCATGACCACGGGCAGTGAAAGAATAAGGGGTTTGGTTAGTACAGGTCCCAGGGGTGGGAGTACAAAGGGTCGTCAGTCAGAAGCTACCATGGTTTCATAGTTACCCTTTTCAATTTTGGAGAACGAATGAATGGACAAAGCCACACTCCAGTTTTAATACCTGTGTCCTGCTGTGTCTGCAGGTAGTGGGTACACGAGGGGGGAGAAAGGGGAGGGGAATAGCTTCCCTTTTGGCCTTAAAGGTGGGAAGAAAGGTGCTGTGGTTCACTAAATAAATACCTGATCACTGGTTGACATTTCAAAGGGGCGTGGGGTTCATGTTTTCCGAAATGCCAGCTCAGGGCAACTCTTCCCTCTCCTATAGGAAGCTCTTTCCAAGCTGAGGGTCTGTGAAATTCACGCACACGTTAAAGGCTGGGAATAACGTGCAGCTGGAGGAGGTTTGCTGGCACAGCGAGCCTGGAGGGGTCCGGCCCTGAGAACGCGGGTCCAGAGCGTGCCCCCAGTGGGGCTGCCGCGTCCGTCCCCCCGGGGCACGGCCGTGGCAGGGCTGCTGAGCCCCATTCTGGCCCTGAATTCTCGTTGCCTTGGGGAACAGACCTCAGGGGCCGGTGGAAAGCCGTCTCCACACATGGACGCCTCGGGGAACACACGAGCGTTGAGTTCTCATCAGGTAAGGGGGAGCCACCTGCGCGTCCTTTTGCGCACTCACACCAGGAAACGTCAGCCCCGGGTGGGGGCTTTGCCGGCAGCTCCTGCGTCTACATTCACAGCGTCCGCTCTTGGTAACTCCGACAGGGCCCTTTCGCTACCAGGCGGCCAGCCTGCTCATGTGTCCCTTCTCTCCGGCCTTGTGCCCGCCACGGCTCACCGCCCATCTTGCTTAGCCTAAGCCTCCTAGCACGTTGCCTAACAACTTAAACATGAATTTGTGAAACACTTAATATGTTTGCATGTTGTTCCCGTTAACCTTTTAAATTATCCTGAGGTAAGAGAGTCGCTCCTCAGGCCAGTTTTAAAGAAAACCAAGGCGCAGCGAGGTGAGGCGCGTCCCAGGTGCGCAGCAGCGAGCGCGGTCGCTCGGTCACGCGTGCTCAGGGCGGGGCGGGGGCTGCTTTCTACCTTCCTGGGCTCTTCCCCAACACCCGTGCGGCTCGGAAACGTGAGGCCCTGCAGGGATCGTTTCCCACGAAGGGCGAAAGGTGCCCTGAAAGGAAGTCAGGGCTCCATCTACAAGTGCACCGGGCGGGGCTGGCGGCACCCAAACGGGCGCATGAACAAAAACCATACTAATCCTCCACACCAGCAACATGTCTAAAATGTCACGCCAACCCAAGAGCCAGTGGACAGGCCTTCAGTTTTCTGCCGCTAGACTTCTCCCTCCGGGCCTTGTCCTGCCTGGGCGTCTCTAAGGGCCTGTCGGCTCCTTTGGAGCTGTCCCCTCCCTCCTCCCTGGCCCCCTCCATCCTTAGACCCAGTACAATAAGCTGGTTAAAAGCTTGCACTTTGGAGTAAAGCACGTCTGGCGTACCACCCCTCTGCCCGGCTGTGTGACCCAGAAGGACGGCATTCTCAACTAGGAACACCGCCTCTTCCCCACGACCGATCTGACATTGAAACTAGGCAAGTACCTGAAACACGAGAAACAATAAACGGGACAGTATCTTTGTTCTAAGTGTTTGGAGGATCAGAGAGGTTAGCGAAGCACCTTAAAAATCACTAGATCTCTTTATTAAATGCACATCAACATCATCACAAACAACAGGAAGAGTGAATCTAATTTTAAATGGACTTGGAGTGCACATAGATTTGTTGCAGTATTATTTAAAATAGCAAAACCAAACCAAACTCAAGTGTTTTAAGGGGGTGGGAGGGAGGGAGAGAACTGTTCAGTAACGGTGCAGCCACGCAGTAAAGTGTCAGGCAATCATTAAAAACTGTATCTTTAATACTGAAGACACGCATTCCCAAAGGGGAGGGGAAATGGCTCTTTGAGGGGAGGGTGAGAAAAACCTTAGATATTACAATGACTTCTGGCCTCAAAAGACCACGGTACAGAGACACATTGTGTGTCTGTGGTATTAAACTTTCACGGGGGTGTTGAGAGGCAGAGTGATAGGCTCCACAGGAGGAATGATAACAAAAACAAAGGCTGAGAAACACAGCAAGTCCTCAAATAACATTGTTTCGTTCCACATTTTGCTGTAACATTGATGAAATACAGCAGGAACTTAACTCTTATTTATATGGTGAAACTGGCTTCATCATACGTTGTTCTGCTGCCGGTCCAAGAACCTATCAACAGCAAGGGAGGACTTACTGCACCGGATTAAGGACACAAATGCTCTCAGTATCTCACATCAAAAGAAGCTCGTCACGGAATATAACAGCACATACAGTCCAAAATATTCTAAGATAGATTTCAAAATGGCAAATGATTTTTCGCGGGTGGAATTAGAGGGGTTTATTTTCTCACATATACTTCAAAAAGAAAATGGGTTTAACATTTTCTATGTTTTTTTAGTGTTAGAATTATACAACATTGTTTTCTAAAAATGTACTTTGGTATTTAATGAGTGAATTTACAACAGAATATGTAAAGCTATTTTCAGGCACTTTCCCAATAAATTGTTCACAAATAAGTAGGTGGAGCTAAACTCATTATGTCTCTATATATTTGTAGTATCAGCCTCTAAACGTACAAGTGTGTCAGATTAGAACAGAGTAAGGAGCAAGTCTAATGTCACTGTGGTGTGACTTTCCTTCCGGTGGAGTTACTGGAGATGACCCGCCCCAAGGAGACTGAGCCGCACCCCCGGTTCCCCTTGGGCCCCAGGACACTGGCTGGGTGATGCTTCAGGAAAACCATGATCCAGACCCCAAAGTGGAAAAAAAAAATGCAACCGTTTTTAAAAGCAACATCCCTGCCACAGATGGTCTGAGCAGCCTTTGACTTCACCGAGGACTTCGGCGAGTCTCCTGCGGTGACACTCAGGCCCCGCCTTAGTCCTTGGCGGTCACCGCTCCCACAGCTGGCTCTGACTCAGGTGCAGCCTCAAGCCGGCTTTCAGCAACAGCGCTCAAGGCAGGAAGGGACAGAAAGAGCTTTCCCAAAGTAGTCAAGTTTCTCTTCCCTTAGAAAACATGCTCCCCTTCTTAATTTTCATTATCAGTTACTCGATGTATATAAAAGTCAATTATCCTTTGATAAAGGTCATGTCGACACGTTTTAAAAAGCTAGAATGCAGTTACTCAAAACCTCAGGCCCCGCTTCCCTGTGACTGTGAGTTCCCACCCGCCCCGCTGCCTCGCTGCGCTAAGTCACCGCGTTCCCGACCTGGACCCCGACGGTGTCCCAACACCCAAGCCATGGCCAGGGACAGAGCAGGCTGCTGCTGTCCTCCCTGTGACTCTTAACATAACCGGCTCCCTTGGGCGCTTCCTGTGACCATGTCTGAAGGTGGAGGGTGCGGTGGCTGTACTCCGTGTCACCAGGGGCTGGACCCCTGTCACATCTGACTTCTGACCTTGTGGCTGTGGAAGCAAGTCCTTCAGTGGCCCTTCAAAGGGCCGAAGGGTGCATGTGCCAGCAACTCCCTGCCCATCTCTGATCTTTATTCAAAGTCGGATAAAAACCGAGGGGCGACTTTGGTCAAGACAAAGAGGCTTGAGAACCACTACGTTTCAGGTAAGTCGGCTGTCACATGAAGAAAATCTGTCATGGTTTCTAGCATTACACACGCTTTGTATTAGCTAGACAGGCTGTGGTAGAGCTGGAGTTCAGTGTAAATTATTCTAAAAATACATGAAGCTGACTGAATCCTACACGAAAAGATTATAACTAATACGATAAAGAAAGCCACACAGGCCCCGACAGGGTAGTTCAGCGGGTGAGAGCGTCGTCCCCATACGCCAAGGTTGTGGGTTCCATCCCGGGTCAGGGCATGCGCAGGCAGCAACCAATGAATGCATAGAAGTGGAACAAGTCAATGGATCTCTTAAAAAAAAAAAATCAATTTTTTAAAATTATAAAAAAATGAAAGCCACACAAATGTTTTATTCACTAAGCATTTATTCTACTAAAGCAGTAGATGTAACTTATCCCAGTGAATCGGTTACCAAGCTCACAAGGAAGTAGGCCCACTCTCGTCACTCTGTCCTACGATACTTTATTTGTAAGTCAGCAAAATCTGACCTTTATCTCACTAGGTATTTCAAACCAGCCCTAAGCAAAACAGACACTGAAGACTCCAGGCTCCCCCACGCACAGCGCCCAGAGCCAGTCTGAGACACTCCAGGGCAATCGCGTCACCTTCGGCGTTACAGAAACGGGGCCTACAGGTGACGCGAGCGCGCGCACAAGCAGCCAGGGCCAGGACAACGGCTCCAGAGCCCTGGGCCTAGTGAGGTTGCAAAGAGCGGGTGCAGATCATAAAAACAACTGCTGATAAATTTCAGACGGAAAAAGGGAGAGAAGATATCAGGTTAACTAAAAACCGAAACTGTAGTCACACAGCTGTTTTGTTGTAGCTTCCAAATAAAGTATTAAAAAACCCCTCAACAACACGTTATCAAACTGTACAAACTGCTACATGTTTAAGGCCTAACATTTTTATAATACCTTATACAAATTTCCAGCAACAATGACCATTTTTAGAAAAAGTTACACTTGCCCCTGGACATAATATTCATAATTTGCTTTCAAAACAAACTCAAAGTAAGGATTGGACTTCAAGCTCCCCAGCTGCTCTGCCTGCAGCAGGTCCTTCACGTCCGGCAGGTACTCGCTGAGCTGGATGCCTGCAGACACAAACACAGAAGGTCATCCCTACCTCCATAAAACTCGGGATGAACTCGGGTGATTGATGATAAAAGCACCTGTGCTTCTATTTCAATTTTAATGTCTCCCTGCTACTGGGAAGCACTGTTTTAAATTCCTTCCATCCGTCAAGCACATTTGCAAGTCTAACCATAGGACAATCTGCGGAGGGGCTGCTGGCGTGTCCTCCACCTAGTGGTCAAAAAGGCCGCTCTGGGTAAAGCCTTTACCACGACCTGAACCCTTCGTTTCTCTCCACAGTTGTGAGTAAGCCGTTCCTCCAGTGTGGAAGTTTGGTCTCTTTTAAAAACGAATAATCACTTGAAAAACAAGTATTTCAAACAATTACATATTCTCCTAGTGGGGAAATAATTTAGAAGTACTTTCATGAGAGCTGGACACAGTATCTCCACCTGCATTCGGGCAGGTGATCAGGTGGGACATCACTGCCCCATCAGCCCCTGCAGACCTGGGAGGTACAGGCATTGTTTAAATGGAGATCTAGGTGGTTACGAGAGAGTACGTACAATTTCTCTCATTTGGAAAAAAAAAACTGGATGAAAAACTTTAAATTATAAGACAGTATTTTAAAATTTGTTGTATTAGCATAAGGTTCTTAAAATCATATTTTTTAATACCCTCAAAGTGCTTCACACCATATTTTGTACTTGTTATACAATAAAGACATGGACTAATGAATGTTATGAGGCTAAACCCAAATTATTTATATACATTACCAATAACCCTTTCACTAAAGCTGTTTTCTCTATAATATAGTATTATACATGTAAAAATATATCACGTTAATTTTTAAAAGATCAATTCTCTAAAAAAAAAGTAACATCTTATTTGACTTCCATTTTTACAGTGCAGGCTTCTTTTCAGACCTAATGCTTGGTGGTTCATTTCTGTTCTTTAGCTAATTCTGAGTATGATACCGTTTAATCTTAAATTGCCTTTGGCAGATCCCTGTTATTTTAAAACTTCTAAAACTGGGGAGTAATGTAATTTCCAATATTAACAAACCACTTACCATCTTTTAAAAGTTTCTGTAAGATTTTCACAAATATACTGTCTTTGGATACTTCAATTGGATCATCTTTACCGTCTGAACTGGACCAGCTAGGAAACAAAATCAGTGTAAGGGGACAGTGACGTCATGGACAGACACATCTGACACAAAGGCCGTCTGCTTGCTGCCCTGGCTTTGGCTGGATGGCGGGGCGCGGGCAGGGCAAACCAAGTGTTGTGATACTCTTTCAAATTATTTAAACAAGGGAGCTTTCAGCTCAACTATACTTAGGGTGTCTATATCGGATTTCCGATGCTACACTTAGGCAGCTATTCGCCTAATGCAATCATTAAGTATTTGATGTCAAAACCAAGCACAGGTATCTTTCCCAATGAATTTCTACACAAAAGTAATAAACCGAGTTAGGACCCCAAAGTATGACCTTTTGGAGCACAGGCAATAGTTACAAAACGTTTATAATGTATTCTGTTTTCCATGAAAGTAAAATTAGGTCACCAGTGTCTGGTATGTAAGTTTGCTTTACGTAGTTCAGGTTTTTACTGCTGAAATTCAAACGCACGGAACCGCTGCTTTGTGGTAATCAACGGATATATTCCACACGATAAACAAAGAGGAGGAATTCCAGTCAAGGGACAGCCTATCTCGTTATGATCAGGAAGGAGAATCAAGTAGGCAGAGCTCGATGGTGCAGAGGGTGACCTCTGAAACCAAATTTAACAACCATCTTAACTATCTGGGAGCGGTCAGAGGAAGAAATGCTTTGGTAAAAATAGTTCTACTGCCCTGTCTCAGCCCCACAGGCGGAAGGGAAGCTGGGCGCAGGGAGGCTTTCGGCGCTCATGCCACGCTCTCTTTGCAATTCTTTTCCTGGGAACAACCCATGCCTACAGCAGATCGTTCTTAGTCTTTCTCTGCCATCCCCGAACGCCACGCCCCGCAGATAAAGGCCCTCCTCCGCAGGAAGGAGAGGGACGCGGGGAAGCGGTCTCTGAAATCTGGAAGAGCGCCTGATCCTCCAACTGTAGTACTTTTCTACTAAAAAAATAGGAGCCTCAAGTCTTGTTTGGTAGAACTGGCCACACTTCTAATGAAATAAAGTAAAAATAAAAAACATGTATTCTTCCATGTAAACTGACAGTCAAAATTTTACAATAAAAAAGGAAGTCCTCAAGGTATTCCTTAATTTTTGAGTGAAAAATGTGAGATCTCTAATGCAACCACTAAATTTTTCATAATATGTTAGTATACACTACAACGAGGTCACAAAGCCATTTGGTGACATGAGTGCGTGCCCCAAACGGTATCTTCGATTCATGCATGAGAACTTACTTATCTCTCTGAAGGGCTTTGCAGAGAATTTCCAGTTTCAGATCGTTTATATTTACATCTTCCTCCTTCACATCAGAACAACAACAACAAAAGACCCGCATTAACTCTTTTTAAAAAAAAAAAACATGTTTATTTTTGAGTTATGTCAACTCCTAATTCTGCATAATTACTGCTTTACTTTAATTCCTACTTTTAAAAAATTTCCCTTAACATCATTAACATTAGGAAGAAGAGTAAGCCAATTAATAACTTGTGAATTAGTTTCTGATTATCCTTTGATAACCAGGTTTTATCAGAAATCTTGAGAGGGTTAAGATATTAAACAAGGGAATGTAAAAGCCAAAATACTGTTTTGTTTTCGTTTTAAAAAACTTGTATTTTTTCTCTTTTTTCGCAATTAAATGTATTGGGGTGACCTTGGTTAACATTACGTAGGTTTCAAATCTCCATTTCTATGACACACAACGCGCACAATGCACGTGGGCCAGTCACCCACGTCAAGTCTTCCCTCGCGGTGTGTCTGACCATGTCTCCCGCCCCTCTGGTCATCGCCACACTGTTGCCTGTGTCTACGAGTTTTTGTTGGCCTTGTTTGTTCATATGTTGCTTTCAGTCTTGTATCTCTCATGTGAGTAAAATCATAGAGTTCTTGATTTTTTATTTCGCTTAGCACAATAGTCTGTTTCCATCCATGTTGTTCCAAATGGCTGTTTTTAAAATCTACCAAATGACTTTCAATTACAAGACCAACTACTTATCCTATAGAATTTTCATTGTAATCCTTTTTCCCCAAAGGCTGAGAAACAGCTTCCCCTAGGGTGAATACTACCAAGAATAAATTGATAAAGCGACACAAACTGAGGAACTAACAGTGACTTATTAATAATTAAAAAATACCTCAGGACTTTGAAAAGCAGCATTTTTTATCTGGGCACGGAAACAAGACATCTGGGGGTGTGTGAGACCTATCAGGAACTGGAATCTGACAGCTTTGCTGTACACAATCCAAGAGTTAGGGGGAGCAGAACCGGCCAGTCTTCCCCACTTTTCCATGACTGGCCGAAGAGGTATTTTTTTCGCACTTTATGTACTCAGTTCCACAGAGAACCCTATAGAAGTCCAATACCTGCCCGTGATCATCGCAAGTGAATTTACTTACCTCGTCAATATACTCCAGCAAGTCCAGAGCTTTCTTGAAATCGTATTCATTAGCTCTTCTGTTTTCTTCACAGATATATAGCTACGGGAAGTTAAAGTAAGGATGAGAGCCAGCTGAAGTAAAGACATAAGCGAGACTTGAGAAATTTATGGTTTTAAAAGAAGTCACTGTCTTTCAAGTAAGTTATTGGTATTTTACGGTAAAGAACAGGGTCAACTTGCAAATTATACTCCATCTACCTCACAGTAAACTACCTTTTAAAACATGCATATAGTCAATCAGTAATTAATTTGAAAAACTTGGTGTATATATACATATACATATCCTTTTAAAATGTCAGTAAATCTTATAATTAGGTTCAAGGTAGTCTACACCTTTCAGCTTCTTTAAAGCATACTCCTTGCAATTAATTACTGTCCTTGCACTTTTAAAGCAATGCCTTTGAAATGCTTCCCTTTCAAATAGTTTTTAAAATTGAGGTCTATGATATAGCATGCAGTTGGCCTACAGTTTACTTACAAAAGATAAAAAAACACACAACAATACGTTACCAACAGTTATCCCTTCTTGGTTAGAGCACAGCTGCCTATATACTAATTTCTGTATTTACGAATTTCCTGTGATTTTATAATCAGAAAAATACTGCCTTATTAAAAATATTACTCTGAATTTTTCCTATCTTTTTATAACTATAATAAATTTCATTTAAAAATATTGTATATAATCCTTTAACAGTAAATACTCAAACCATTTCAGGAAAAAAAAAAAGCTATTTACTTTTCATTGTCTTACAACACTTAAAAAATAACACTTTATTTCATTGTTTCTGAACATCTTTTTTTCCCCAAATGAGAACATCTCTGAACCTGGAATGTGGTATTAAAATTGATGGTGTATTTAAGTAAAATTGGCACTAATTTTTCCTTCTTACTAATTCATAAAATAGTTAAATCATACAAACAACAGCATCTTAGATTTTAAATTAAATATACTATACCAGGAGAGGCTGCTGTGAGCTCCATTATAAGAAATCTGTTACTAACAATAGCTAAAGTATACATGTTTTTGAATTGTTTTCTTTCTTTTTAGTATAATTAGAGCAAACTCAAGGTAATCCTATGACATCATTCTTTTATTTGAAATGCTTTCTTGAAAGGAAGAAGAGAGGAGTAGCGTTGAAGGTGCAAGTGTACATAACAACAAAACTCGTATCTAGGCTGTGGCCCACAGTCTAGCAATGCCCTTGGGAATGAGCGGGTAACATCAGAGGAAAAGGGTGAAGGTGGCAGTTACAGGCTATCAAGTCCAGACCCTTAAAGCATCTTTCTTATAGAAGAGTCTGATGTGGCTCCCAGGACACATATTTGTCCCATACTGAAAAAGCAACACACGAGCACCTTTTCCGGGTGGACCGGATAAGCACCTTGGGGAGTAAGAGGCGGATTCGCGGGGCAGGGCGGAGGCTGGTACACTGCGCTCTGCTCGCCCGCACCCTGCTCCCATGCAGCTTCTAACAGCTTATGCCAGGGAGGTCACCAGGAACAGGAGAGATGACTGCTCTCAGAAACTATACTGCATGGCCCAAGAAACCCTGAGGCTGTTTCCAGACTGAGAGATGGCGCAAGGATTCGGAAAGCACGTACGTCGATGAGCTGCGGCGCGCTCAGCACTGGCATCGCACTGAGGCTCAGCTGCTTCTCCGTGAGTAGCTGCTCCGGCAGGGTCTCCTGGTGCAGCAGAAAGCGCTCCTGCTCAGCCATTTCTAGAATTCAAAATGGGAGGGGGTGGGAGGGGAGTAGATTTTATTTTTGCTCTGTCATAAAGGTCTGAATTTAAGAAGAAAAAGGAGTATCTCTAAAGATAGTCTCATCACTATTCAACGATCTTAGAGTTTCAATCCTGCTTATTCTTGATGCCTGATTACATTAAAACATAGTCATGGTTTGATCCAAGTCATATGAAGTAGCAGCAACCAGAACAAGTGAAAAGGGGAGAGAAGAGGTAAGGAAACACCCTGCTGCTTCAAGAAGGGAGAGAGCACAGGCCCCTAATCTCAGCCCCATTTTACGGGAACTCGTGAAGTGCTCCTTCCCAGCAGTTTCCAGGCTCATTTCGTTCACTGAGGGAAACGATCTGTCTACAGCCATACCACCCTGAACACGCCCGATCTTGTCTGATCTCAGAAGCTAAGCAGGGTCGGGCCTGGTTAGTACTTGGATGGGAGGAAAGCGATCTATTTAAAAGCCACCATGCCTATGTTCCAGGAAAAATAAAACCTGGGTGATTATGTGCCAAACCTCTTACGCAGCAACGGTTTTCCCTAGAGGACAAGGTGGCAGGGCCTTGTGCGTGCCATAAACTACCCCAGCTGCAGTCCCAGAGCCTGGCTTTGCCCATGAGAACGTGCTGGGTGTAGGGGAAGGGCTGAGGGCTGCTATGCAGCCTCCAAGCGGAGTGACCAGAGCACACGTAGGCTCGTTCAAATACTGGCATTGTTCCACCAGATCCCACATATTATAAGGAATTACACAAAACATTTTTATGCAATTTCCATACCTAGAGAAACAGATTGGGAGAATACACAAAACAGTAACAGAAAATTTATAAAGTTCTATGAGGAATGATCTATAAAACCACAAAGAAGTTATTTTAAAAAACCTACTGCTATGATTAGACACGTTGTGATAACAGTCTGTAGGAAATTACTCAAACCTGAAAATACTTCTATTGTGTTAAGAATGAAAGCTAAGAAGTCATGAAATGCAAAACAATAACCAGAATTCCAATGATTATCAGAGGAAAAAAATGAGAGATAAAGGCTTGTGTTCAAATATTTTGATTAACATCGTCTCCTTCTGGTGGCCAGACTAGCCTGTGGCTGCCCCTTTCAGACGACCAGCTGGCTTTGCAGAATACATCCACACTCCCCCACGACAGGCTAGCTAGTGCTTAAAAATAAAAGGCTGAAGGAAGATTCTCCCAAACAGTGAAAAATAATTTTAATAATAAAAGTTCAACGCCACTCATGATTTATTAAGACTTTTTTCAAGGAATACGCTATGTCTCTGATCCTTACAACTATGCATTTTTATAGATGAGGAAACGGAGGCTCAGAGGGTAGAACAGCTACCCAAGGTCACAAAACTAGTAAGTTGGGGAAAATATTTGAAACCAGATCTACCCGATTTCTGTCCAGATTCTTTTGACCACACCCACTCTTCAGAGGAAAAAAATGACAGCAGTGTAATTTGAATCGATGCCAACAGACGGACTCTGTGGCTAAGCCTTACTACCAAATACCTGTATTTGCATATACTCCACCCCTGAGCAGAGCTGATCTTCCCCCTGCCAATTTTTACTTTGAGAAGTTTCAAACCTACAGAAAAATGTCAAGAATACAATGTGTGCTATACACCTAGAGTTACCTGCTGTTAACTTTTCCCCCAAAATGCTTGTCATAGTTGTTTTGGTTGTTTAGGGGCTGGTTCAGGAGCCAATAAAAAAATCCCTCACTGCATTTGGTTGTCACGGCTCTCAGGCTCCTCTGACCTCAGACAGCTTCCTGTCTTTTCCCTGTTGTCTTTCCTGTTGCTGACTGGGCTGACTATATCGTAAAATGCCATCCAATCGAGATGTATCTAACTGTTCCCTTGAGATCAGGTTCAGGCTGCACACTGCTGGCGAGAACGCACACAGGCGGCGGTACATGCTGCCGCTGCCGAGTTACAGCGCCCCGGCGAGTGTAACGTGAGTCTCTCTCACTGTGCGTCTGTCAGATCTGTGCAATGAGATGCTGAAACACGAGGATACCCTCTTCCCCTTGCCCCTCAACTCGCTGGCTCTAGCGTCTCAGATGACCAAGTATTCACCACGGTTGTAAAAAGGTGACTTTCCAAGTCAACCATTCTTTCTACACCCATTAGTTAGCATTCTTTGTTGGTTAAGAAGCATTTCACTGCTCCCTCCCCTTCTGGGTATCGCTGCGGATTTGTGGATTTTTCTTTTTTAAACTGAAATAAAATCCTTTACCACCATCCTTTTTGGTGTTTGAATTATTCCCGAACTTGGCCAGGCCTGTGGGAGTTCCTGTGTTGTTTAATATCTCTACATTAACCTCAGGCCCAACAAGACTTCCCAAGACCATTTCTTCGATAAGCCCTCATTTCCTTTGACTGAGAAGTGGCAGTTAGAAACCAAACTACGGGACTAGGTACACTCACTCCGGGGATGCCACGGCTGTGAAGTCTTTTCAGTGGACAGAGCCCATCATATTTTAAACAACTGTGATTCCACCTTATATCTCCAATTCGAATGCAAAAATACAGTATTCACCTCTCCATCTTTGTATCTCCCTTCTCCTTGGTTCTCAAAAATAATATATTTGACCCTTTTCTTAATCTACAACATACACAAAATAGTTTCACAATTAGGATGTCAGGAAGTCTTGAACTCCAAACCACGTACTACAGAAGGACCACTACCTATAACAGACCCTGGAGTAAAGGTCAAGGTTTCTTTGCCGTTCTTCTCTTCCTTAGGATGAGTTACCATGGGTATCATCAGAGTACTTTGTTGAAATCATTTAAATTTATTCTTTAGGACTTTTCTCTAAAGAGACAATCCCAAGGGTATACCTGGACAGTTACTAAGGACACTGAATGGGAAGCACTCCTCTTAAAGGAAAGATGGGTCTTCTTTCTAATGGGTCCCATTAAGTGACAGAGAAACATACTGTAATAGTTTGTTGACAGCAGGACTGATTTGTATGACTTCTTGTTTAGATTCTTTTTTACCTTCAATTTTTTCTTGCAGTATATCTTCTGAAAAATCTGAAGCTAATGCAGCCAGTTTACTCAAGCCGAGAAGGGTTTTTTTCTTTGCAAAGTAACGAGTTTCCATATTTGCCAAACCCAGAAGTGTTGTGTGAGCCTACAATACACAACATAGAAAAACTGGGATAAGATCCTGGTTACTAATGCAAATTGAAATAGACATTAAGTGCAACTCAAACTTTCTTACCCCTTAAACTACAGCAATGAAAGAGTGTCAATATTAGCAAAACGTAAAACTGATGAATACCATATACATGGAAAAGCAATTTCACAATAAAATATCAACCACTCATATAATTATTGAGAAGAGAGACGTACAACACCTTTGCTTTATAACAACTGTATATTCCCTTCAACATCCTGTCAAGAACTTTAAAATTAATTTATGTACTGTCTGTACTGATAATTTGACTATTTTTATTATAAGAAAACACTCATCAACAAAGAAAAGGTTGTGTTAGTTGTTAATCAAATCATTGTGCTTTATTTTACTGTCATAGAAATCAAATCACAATGGACTACGTTTTTTAAGTGAGTTATTAGAGGTAATGGCAACACTATCATAAATCAAAAATATTCAAATTATGTGAGCAAATAAGAGATACACATTTAAAATAATTTATTAGTATTTTAATTACTAAAAACTAAATTAAAACTGAAAAATTACCTAAATCGGTCCCACATAACTGACTCCTTACCTTTTCTAAGTCCTGGCTGTTAATCTCATGTAACCAGCTGAGGTGCTCGTGAGCCTGCAAAAAATCTGCCAGCTGTCCATGCTGAGCGATGGGCTGAGATAACAATTTGCCTCTCTTCCCTTTCTCCAGGTACCAACGGAAGAGAAAGTCTGAAAAATTCTATAAACAACACAGCCAAGAATCCAGTATTATTTAGTAATATAGTTCTTAAAAATACATTTCTGATAATAAAATATTAAATTTCTTCCAAAGGTCTCAGACTCCAGAATAGAAATCTTGTTTCTAACACTAATTTCCTGTATTGCAGGATCCTCAAAAATCCCCTCATTGAATCGCCTCATTTGACGAATGAGGACATTCGGATTCAGAAAGGGCTTGCTCAAAGCCACGCAGAATCTAGATGTACACTGTCCAATGTGGTAGCCACAGTCACATGCAGCTGTTTAAACCTAACCAAAATTTAAAAATTTAGTAGCTCAGTCTCACTAGCCACATTCCAGGTGCTTGATGGCCACATGGGGCTAGAAGACCCCTTTTGGACAGCACAGGTAAGCAACATTTGCACTACCGTAGAAAGTTCCAGGGGCCGGAGCCGAGCCCATCATTCCAGGAATAAAAGGTTTCCAGGGGTAGACTTCTGTGTGTATGGCCACACGGGCTGGCACAGTAATAAGCCAGGCCCTGGGGAGGCCCCAGGAGACCAGCCCGTCCTCCCTGTGGGCGGCTGCTGGAGGCCGGAGTGGCGGGGGCAACACGCTGGAAGGGAAGACAGAACTGTCCTGCAGACTCACGGCCGCTGCGAGCGATTCCCCTGCGGGGGGGATTCTGCAGCGGAGCCCAGGCCCACAGGCCAGGCCCACAGGCTTGGCCCACAGGCTGGCCCCCCAGGAAAAACAGCATCGGTTTCCATCTTTATAGGTCTTTTATACACAGTAGCCAAAATACAATTAAGAAATCACAAGATATAAGTAGAAAAATATGACTACTAACCAGGCAACAGAAGCAGACCTAAGCACGATCATATCTGTAGTACAAAAGGACTTTAAAATAACTACTAAGGAAAATAAAATTATGCCAAAATGGATGGAAAATGTCAACAGGATACCAGAATCCATAAAAAGAATAAAAATGATGGGCACGACATCATTTCATTTAGTGCTACTATGAAACACTAGTTAAGTCAAGTCCAACAACTGGGGAGTAATCAAATGAGGTAAGTTATATCCATTCCATGCAATTCTAAAACTGTTTAAAAATGTTGTTGTGGAAAAAGAAACTATTGTGGAATATTTCAAGTTATGGACAAACATCTGTGATGTATTAAGTAAACTAGAGAGTTGACAAAACATGTTTGTCTATAATCATGTAGAGTAAGAAGCCTAGAATATAAACCAAATGTTTAAAGGAGTTCTCTCCGGATGCTGGAATTTATAAGTGAGTTTTTAAATCTTCATTTTGTTTTTAGGGGTTTTCTGAGCTTTATATAATTTCACTTTTCTAGTTAGGGAAAAAATCAGTTTTTACATAAAAATCAAGTGATTGAATAAACTGGCTTTAAAGAGAAACTTAAACACGCCTATAGAGTGTCAGAATGGGAACTTTTAAAAAAACAGGAAGCATGATTTCAAACAAGGTAAAACAGCAATCTTAGGTGTAGGTAAATCTGGGTTTTCTAAACATATCATCCTATGTTCTTGCAGTTTTCTATTCAAAATTTTAAAATTCTACCAATATTCATATACCAAAGTAAATACTCTTTCAGTAGTATTTATATATAAAGAACAGTCTACCAACTTACAAAGAAACATGATACATAAATTAGTATCTAAGTTAATCACAAAAGAACGGCATCATCTTCCAAGAACCCCACGTAAGGTTTGAAATGGCACAGGCTTAATTCACACAGGAGCTATTGCCGACACCCTGGCGTTTGTCACCTGATCAGCAAACTGGGTCATGTAGCGCTGGAGCCTGGTCTGGTTGTCAGTCAGCTCGCACATTTGTACCAGGATATCAAAGTCACAGTATTTTTCTGCTAATGAAGCAGCCCATGAGTACTGGCCCAGCGTGACTGTGGAAGTGATACCAGATGGAAAAAAACCTTATTAGTAAAAATTTAAAACATAATTTAAAAATATACTTGCAATTTTACCTTTATTTAGATTATATACTAAATATAACTAATGGAATAGAAACCTTTCCGGTTACTGGCATTTGGTTTCAGAATCCGTGTAACATCATTAAACATGCACATTCAGTCCCTTGCTCCATCACTGACTACCTCAGATGCTATCCCCTTCCTTCATGTCCTGGCGCAAGGCACTCCCCGTAATCCCGATGAAAGCGAGGTTGCATAGGTGAACACACAAAACTGTACATATCTGCTTCAAATTCTTGGTGCGGTCGGATTAACAATATTACACCGAATACACTGCATTAATGACTTGGCTCCCTCACCTGTTCTGCAAATTCAGACTCACAGCCCGAGCTAAACACCATGCACTTACGAAGTGGAGATAAGAGCTCTGATCTTTTCTGCGCATATTCAGTTTCCAGATTGTTGTATCTTCCTTGATCATTGGACCTGTCCAGGGACTTCAGCTGACAAGTATAGCCGTCCAGGAAGCAATCGACCAGCGAGACCAGCTGCTCTGTCAGGATGTTTCGGAGTTTGCTGTCTGCTTGAGGGTAAACCATCTTCAGGATGATCTCGTGCTGGCGTGTAATTGCCGTTCGGATGCCAGCGGGACCGCTCGTTGCTGTGAAACCACACAAATGTCGCGGTAGGTAAGGGCCGTGAAATGGCGAGGGGGGAGACCAGCTGCCCAAAACTCTATCGGCTCACCCCGCTGGAAACATACATCGCAGCGGGGTTCCGTGGGCACCCCCTGTCCCGCTCCAGCCCCCTCGTCTCCATGTGAGCCTGCACTCCCCCTAAATTCCTTTCGTGCTACTCCACTTACTTTAAAGTACAGTCAGTACCTCCAGGGCCAGGACCTGCTTCTACGAATAACTATATGCATTAAGACTTCGTAGATGGATAGTAAGTACTGGTTCACTAAGTGAATCAGAGAGACCTATAAATTATTCCAAGGGAATAAAGCAATTGTCACAAGAATTGCTTCTTTTGGAGATGGACTTAAAAGTTATTTTTCATTTCACATACAAACCTGCACCAGGGAGATAATACAACTTCCAAAAATGATGGCTCATTAGAATATATTCTGAATAACTGCTAATAAATCAGCATATTTGGGCTCAGTGTTCGCGACCTCACCTGTCCACGGAATATACTCAGGTTCTTTTTCTAGCGGTTCTTCTCTTCTATACAAGGAGTTTCTGTGCTGTCGATAATGACTAGCGGCTTGCAGCATGTCCTGGAAAACAATGAAATATGTTACCATATGCAGAAGCGATGAATCCCAGTATTTCCGAAGGTAGTGAGAAACATCATTCTACTCACATGAAAAAACACTCAACATAGGTCTGCAGGAGAACTTTTTGGTTCTTTTTACATTTGAAATTTGTTTAACTCCATAATCTAACCTCAGCTTTGGAAAACTGTAGTAACCAAAGTAAAAAAAAATAAACCAAAACCCTTTATTGTGAGGTACATTAGCTAAAATTAAATGGAACATTTTAATCAATAATGTAAGTAGTGAGCTTCTGAGTAATTAAAAAAAGACACTTACTTAGACAATTACATTAACACATTTACAATAATGTGTGTGTGTGTGTGTGTGTGTGTGTGTGTGTGTGTGTGTCCTTCTCCAAAGAAACGGTTTATTCTACCAAATACTACTCAGGATTATAGAAACTTTTAACAAGCACAAGGCAAATATTCAACATTGTTATTAACTGATTGATAAAATGCTTAATTTTTCTAATTTTTTGGAATGAACGAATGGTTAAACTCATAAATTATTAGTGATACAGAGGAGTATAGAAACCATATTCTCTTTTATTCACACTCTGGACTTTGACTTGCTAAAATCACCGCATTTTGGTACCTTGAGAATGGTGTTCACATTGATCACCACTTCCGCCCATTCAACTGATTCCAAAGACGTATCCTTTAAGACTTGCTCCTCATGCTCCAGTAAACACTCACAGATTGTGTCTACCTGGGACACCTGAGGGAGTAGAGAGACGTCAACCACATATAACAAGGATGGTGACAGGCTATTATAACTACCTAGAATCTACTCAATGGGCTCGTCTCATTAACTCATACATACCCTCAGCTCGTAAGTCAGAAAATAAAACCCCAGATAATGGTGAAAATAAATTTAAAAACCAAGAAAAGTTCGAATCTCCTAACTTCTAAAAGGTAGAGCGCCCAAATGACTAATCCTTATGAAAAAGTGAATTCTGGACTGTTACCAGGTCATTTTTGTATTTAAATACCAAATACAGTCGGGCCTTCATACCTGCAGGCTCTGCATCTGTGGAATCCAAAATATTAAAAAAAAAAAGAAAAAAAAAAAAAAAAAAAAAGGCTGCGTTGGCCCGGATGTGTACTGCGCATGTAGGCCCGCCATGGCTGCATCTGCGCTGAGCATGCGCAGACTTTGTTTTTTCCTGTCATTACTCCCTAAACAATACAGTGTAACTATTTACATAGCACTAGGTATTATAAGTAATTATATTATTATTATAAGTCATCAAGAGATGATTTAAAGTGTACAGGGGAGGTGCACAGGTTATAAGCAAACACTGACATTTAAATAAGGAACTTCAGTATCTGAGAATTTGGGTATCAGTGGGGAGGTTTCTGGAACCAATCCCCTGCAGATACCAACAGACAACTATAACTGAAATATTTGTTTACTATAGCTATTGGTGCTCAATACCACCTTTAAGTAGTACTAGGTTACAAATAAAGTTACAATGTAAGACACCAAACTAATGAATTAAACTAATAAATTTAAATGACCCCAACTAATACACTTGCTAATTTCGTTTGAAGAATTCCTCTTCTTCAGACATAACAGAAATGCTTTTAGAATAGCAGTAGCTGTTTAGAAAATAACTAATTAAAAACATAACTTCTAACTGTTCTCTTTTTGTCATTAATTAGCACATGAAGGTAACGGTGCACTGAAACACCTGTTTCCAGTTTCGGTTCACAGCTAAGCTCTTCCCCCTTTACTTATTAACTGGATATTTACTTAGTATTTGGAGTTTACATAGCGTTGGGCACTCAAGAGATAAGGACAAACAGAAATCAGATTCGCTATCCTCAGAAGCTTACAAACTAGTTGTGGCCAAAGCAAAATCATTCTGTCTGGCAATCCTGTCTTTCCTTTTGTGTTTCTGATGTCAGGACAGAGCATCCTAAGGACCCTGGCCAGAAACCTTTGGCACATTTAATCTGTAAGCTTAAATGTAAGAATTTCTTAGACTATTCATGTAAGAACGGTAACAAAAGCATGTATGAAACAACAGGTAGACAATAACGTGAAAGCGGATAAAACGCCCACTTACTAACCACCCTGATCCTGCAAGGTGTGTGTTCAATCGTCTCAAACGCCACTCATGTGCTGCTCCATAAGGCCTGCCGCTCCTTCTAGAGCCAGACTGGCAGCGAGGCGGAGCGCGCACCCCCAGCAGGCTCCCTATTATTTCACCTCCCATCCGGGCTGCCAGGACCCCCCCCACAATGAGCCCACCAATCAGAGGCCGGTGTGGGTAGCCTGCTCTTGTCCTAAAGTGCTAATGCCTGTTGGTAATGTAATTTGCCACTTCCAAGTGAATGGACAAGAAAAAACTATTTATACATCTGTTTTCATTCTGTTCATGCACATCCTCTTTCCAGTTCTCTTTTTTACTGTAGTTCTGTCACAGTAAAGGTTCTGACAGTGGAAGAACCTTTAGAACTACTCCCAAAGGGAGCTCAAGACCAGTCGCCATCATGAGAAATTAAGATCGATGGTGATATGATATAAACGGTCTTCAATGTTACCACTTCCACAGGGAGTACTCTTTTAAGGCACCACGTTTTTAGTTTTATTCTACCATATCCCTAAGGTACTGCTCATGAATTATGTATCCAAATAAAAATTTCTCACCCTGGCTTGTATGGCTCAGTAGATTGAGCGTCAGCCTGCGAACCAAAGGGTCGCAGGTTCGATTCCCAGTCAAGGCACATGTCTAGGTTGCAGGCCAGGTCCCCAGCAGGGGACGTGTCAAGGGCAACCACACATTGCTGTTTCTCTTCTTCTTCTTTCTCCCTCCCTTCCCCTCTTTCTAAAAATAAATAAAATCTTTTTAAAAAAATAAAAAATTTCTTGCCCTTTCCTTTTTTCCCCAGTTAACTAGAAAACAGATATAATTCGAATTAACTAGAATGCTTTCTACTTTGATCCTAATACGAAAAAGGATCCAGGCTCTTGCTCAAATCTTTAAAACAGTTTGTCATTTATAATTTTAAAAAAACTTTTATTTTACCATGAAAAATTATTTATGATAAGACAGTTTGGTTAGATAATAAAATTTGAGGTGAATTTTTTTTCTTTCATTCAGATTTTGGGCATAGTTCTTAATTTAAAAACAAAACAAAACACAAGTGCTTTGCCTTACATGCCCTAGAAAAACAACTAACTCAAAGGTCTGAAGACAAGACACTTATCAAACTGAATACATTTATGGTATGAACAGAAAACCTGAACATAGTTCATTGTCTTAAATTATTTTCAGATTTTAGTACATCAAATATTAGGAAAGAGACATCTTGGCATAGTCTGTTACATACTGGCTTATAGCTAGACTGTAGGAGGAATAAAATAAAATTAGAGGAACCAAAAAGAGTTACAAGTTCCCCAAATGCGGAGAACAACTCCACATTTCACAAAACCGGGGGAAGCACTGGCACTGCTTCTGAAATCAGTGCCACCAAGGGACAAGGGGGCCGTCCTAGGTAAGGACTGCAGAGGCGACCTCTGGCACGCCCAACACAGCTGCTCAGCACAGGCTCAGAACAAGCTCTGTCGCCTCAGCTACAACAACCGGACTCTTTATTGTCAAAACCTTTCGAGGGAGAGCGTCAGTTCACCAGGCCGGGAGGCATCACCCAGGTCCAAGAGCTGGGCACTGCAATGTCCAGCTGCCACCGGCTGGCTAGCATCTTAACCTTCTCCCTCTGAAGTTTGCAGGTTTTTCTTTTTCTCTGAAAATAAATCTGATCTTAAACGTGAGGTGTGCAACAGGACCCTAGCAGGCAGCTGAGGCAGGAGAGGTTAGTGCAGGGACTGTTTAAAAAGGCGAGGGCGGGATTAAGGAGACCGGCAGGGGGCGGCGCAGCACACAGGGCTGGCTAGCAACAGCGGAGCCACTCCGGAGCCCAGGCTGAAGGGGGCACCGGGAGGGAGCAGTTACTGGAAATGCAGGGAGGGCAGCCACACAGGAGCCCTGGTCTCCGAGAGGGCAGAGCAGACTGCGGAGGAAGCAGGTGGGGACGGAAGCTGGGGGAGTAGCCACTCGGACCCGCGACAGTGCCTCACTTTCGGCAAACCGGACAGGAAACCAGAGGCCAGGGAGTCTGCGGGCAAAGATGCCCTGCTGGGGCAGGGTGGGTCAGGAGACAAAGGAAAGCATCCAGCACAGGGCAGGGGGACTCCTTAGTCCACGCCGCAAGCATTAGGAAAGCGGTGAGGGGGTGATACTTTGAGTGATAGCGAGATCTTCCGCCTTCAAGCTTTTCCCTGCCTGGGGCACCATCAGAGTGTAAACGGCCCAGCCAGCCGTAGGAGGCCACATTAAGGGAAGCAAGAGGACCCGTCTTACCTCTCTAAAAAAGATGTCTGCAGGGGTCAGGCTGGATGGGATGTCACAGTCCCTTTTGTTCAAAGCAATCAATATCGCCGTGTTCACGAGGTCAGACAGCCGTGAGTGATGGTTCTTGAGAACAACCGCAGCCGACAGCTTCTCCGCATGCTCACAGAGCAACAGCCGGGTTGCCATGGGCATGCCTCGCACTGGAAAAGTGCGCAGACGTCCAAATAAGCCCACCTTGTGAGGAGACAAACACACACGTGTTCTGGGAGAACACTGACAGTAACAAAATAACGCAGCCCCATTTCCACCGGAAGCACGTGGGGCACAGGGTCACCAGCCCAGCTCTCCCCCGCACAGCAGCTCCGGCGGCCTCTCCTTTCGGCTACTTCTAACCCCCGCACACACGCCCCCTTGCATGATTCAGCCAGGACCGCTAGCGCCTGTAAGGAACACAGACTTTCCGGTTCTGAGACTAGGGTTACTCCAGAGTCTCTGCTGGCTGTCGCCGTCTCTACCTATCTTGTTTCTCAAGTTACAGTTTATGGTTATCAAGATGGTAACATCACTTTTTTTCCCATCTGCATCCATTAACTCCCCTAGACTTGAGGCCTTTGTGGACCATTAACTTAGCAGCCTCCGTATTCCACAACTGAGTTCCAGACTGGAGAGCGAGCAGGGGGTGCGGGTGGGAGAGTCTTTAATCCTTTCATCTCCCACCACTGATTTACTTGATGCCCATTTCTGGTACGTTGCTAGGTTCTAAAAGTTTCTCTACTTGATAAAGCATTAACCTGAACTATGAAGAGCCGACAGACATAAGTAATGAAAACTCTTTCACACTTTAAGTATCATCCATTTCATTAACATGTGACCTGATTTTTTAATACACTGAATTTATTTTAAATACAGAAAAGTACACAGAAAACAAAAATAATCCAACCCCCCCCCCGCCTCCAGAGAAACCTACTGACGTGAGTAATCCGTGTGCGATTAGAACATTTAACGGCACAGGGAGGTAGGAGCCGGCTGTCCCCAGCCCAGTCTTCTCCCTGTCATGGCTGAGGTTAAGTTTCCTCCACAACTCAACATGCTTTTATGGTATTTGTATATCAGAAGTTATCTTTTTAAAACACAAGAGGAGTCATACTAGATACGTAGCTGTTCCTTATGCTGACAGCATTGTATCCTATCACGTCTCGATCCTCATTATCTTTAACGGCCATGGAACAGGCACCGAGTCCACCTGCAATCCCCCACGGAGCCCGCCCGGTGGCGATCCTGGAGCCCGCGTGCTCGCGGGTTCCTGATTTGAACGCACCCCCGGCTCCCTCAGTTACCGCAGGCGTAGTTTTAAGTGGGGGCCCCAGCTGCCGCTGCGCCTGCCTCCTCGTCCCAGCCCTGCCAGGGGAGGAGGGCCCCCGGGTCCCGTCCCTCCAGCCACGTGACGAGCCGAGGACCGCGGGCACTCCCTGCCCGGCCGCAGCAGACTCCGTGTGAGGGCCAGGCTGCCCTGAGCAGCGGGCGGCTACAGGCGCGACAGCGTCCTGAGGCACCGACAGGACCTTCCAGCCCTTTGGAGGGAAGCCACAGCCCTACTGCTGGTGAGTTTGACTTGATGAGAAGGAGAGGCTTTTATTTCCTGATTGTTAATGTAAATTCCTCAGTGAAATAAGATCTAAATATTCGAAGTAATACAAAGGCATAGCCTAAATGGGATTTTCGGACCGTCACCTTGCAGTGAGCACCACCGCCAACAGCCGTGCGGCCCCCCGGGGCCCCTGAAGCCCCGGGGGGCCGGGCGAGGGCTCACACCTGCGGCTCTCACCTCCGCCCCGCGAGCATCCGCGGTGCGGCAGCGCCGGGCATGAACCCCCGCCTCCCAGAACGCACATCTTTCTGGGGACTTGGCCACTCCTCCCATTAAGAGGCAGAATCCATTTCTCAATCCCTTTCATCTGGGCTGGGCTTATGACTTGCTTCGACCAATGTCACTTTGGTCAAAGTGACGTTATGCGACATTTGAGGTGAGACACTGGGCTACAGTTTCTAAGGGCACATGCGTTGGTGCTGCCCCGAGACCACAGGAAGCAGCCCAGCCTAGAGGGCGAAGAGAGGCTACATGGAGCAGCCCCAGCTGCCAGTCAGGCGACAAGCTTGGGACCTTCTGGCTCAGCCCGCCCTACGTCCAGCTCAAGGAGTGGCCTCCAGGGAAACCAGCAGCAGGACCACCCAGGCCATAGAACTGATTGTTTGAATCCACCTGCACTCAGGTTATGTATTGATAGTTATGTATTGATAGTTAATGTTAACCGCTAATGGTGAATACTGATACATTTTACTAATTAAATATTTACATCAGGAGAAAAAAAATTTTCCTAATTAATCTGAAACCCACCTAAAACACTACAAAAGAGGAGACTCAGTGAACGAACGGAGTTCTCCTCCCAAGACAACGAGAGCAGAAGGAGCCACCCCGCGCGTCGCAGCTGCAGCGGAATGCGGGGTTAGGGACAAGGAAGGCGTTTCTGAAACTACCTAAGCTGCACTATCCAACGAGGTAGCCACTGTCCACCACAGTGGAGATTTAAATTTAATTAAAAATAAATTCTAAAAAAGCGAGCTCCTCGGCGGCAGCCACGCGGGAGCTGTGAGCCGCCGCACCGACCAGCGCAGGCGCAGGCCATCCTCCTCACTCAGGAGGCTCCACTGGGCCGCGATGACTGGAGTCTCTTTAGCACAAAGGCATCCCTGATTTTGGAAAAAATAAGCAAAAATGGGGTTAAATTCATTCATTTGGACAGATGCCGGGGAGCTACTACTGAAATGGCAAAAATGAGTGATTTTGTGTAATGATTCCATCTCACAGCAAATACATTTTCTAATTTTAGTTTAGGCTCACTATAAATGGGACTATCTCTTTAAAAAAAAAACAAAACAGCTTTAAATGAGAAATTGATTCTATTGGCACTCAAAATAAAAAATCCATAGATAAAAATCTTGTTTTTATCACCTTATTACTCTTCACTGTCTTCCTAATACTACAAAATAAACTCATGAAAACCTCAGTTTTACACATAAAAGCACACAGGAAATCTGAATGAAAGGCAGGCCAGCATAGGATGCTACAAGGAAAGCTAAAACAAGCCTTCAGCTGAAATACACTATTTTTTTGCTTTTTATCTTATTTTCAATGCAGCTTTCATACTTGCAGTAACAGGCCTCCGTGGATCCCTGGACTTATTTACTTTTAAATCAGAAAAGGGATGTAGAACGCCAGTCCCGCCCCGCCCCACGGGGCCCCTCTCCCACCGCCCGGTAGGAGCTGATGGAGGGGCCGCAGAGCGCGGGCCGCGGCCCTGCCGACAGTGGCCGGGAGGCTTACTTGGTGGATAAAGTCCATGAGGAAAGAGTGGGCCTTCATCTTGTCTTCTAGCTGGTGGAGAATGATCAGTGATGTGTTGCTGAACCCAGGTGCTTCTGTTGAAACACAATAGCAACACTTAGCACACAGGCTTTGTAATGATTACTATGATTAAAATAAGAAGTTGAGAAAAGTCTACACAAGATGAGAACACCAACCTTTTTTCTTTTTCAATTCAAGATATTTTTAAAAAAAGATTTTATTTATTTATTTTTAAAGAGAAGGGAAGGGGAGGGAAGAGAGGGAGAAAAACATTGATGTGTGAGAGAAACATAAATTGGTTGCCTCTCGCACACCTCGAACTGGGGACCTGGCCTGCAACCCAGGCATGTGCCCTGACTGGGAATCCAACCACTGACCTTTCAGTTCGCAGGCTGGCATTCAATCCACTGAACCACACCAGCCAGGGCGAAAACACCAACCTTTCAATACAATTATTTATAACATTACCCAAGAGTATTAAAAAAATTAAGAGGAAATTTTGGGAGTTTGATACAGAAAATGTTATTACTCATTTAATTGCTTACTTTATATCATTCTAAACTTGCCAGTTCAAAAAAAAAAAAAAAAAAGTCAAAGAAAGAAGGTAAACACTGACGTTTTCTTCCTTAACTTCTAATGAGGCTCAGCGAGCCTGCAGAGTAGATTGGGAAAAGAAATGGATGTCTGAGACAGTCCCCTGGTTCCCGGAAGCCCCAGAGCGCCCAGGAGCTGCGGGGGAAGGGCCCGAGGGACCATCCCCGGGGCAGGCTGGACAGCATCTGGCAGGAACACGCGATGTGTCCACTCGACATGCTGGGATTTGCTCACTTCAGCCTTTACGGAAATGTACAATTTCTATTAGCCAAATACAGTGCTTATGCCAAAACTATCACTTAATTCAGGGCTAGTCAGTGCCAAATGCTACCCATGACATCAACTGCCTTTCAGAAATAAAAGGTAGAGGCCGCTAAGTAGGGCTAATTAACAATTGTCTTTGCCTAGAACAAGGTGATTTGCCCCAACGTCTCTGCACTTTCTGTTCTATCATGTAGGTCTGTTCAGAGCCCTTCTCAAAGTCTATAAAAGTTGTAACCTCTTTAAAAATATTGAATTAACATTAAATTGTTTCAGAAACTACAAGAAAATAGGCTTTGAGACACTTTAACTAAAGAACCAGAATGTTCCTCTCAAAACAGATCATTCCGCGCTATTAAGGTGCGGCCGTTCGTACCCTCAGGGACGGATTCGGCCCACCGTGGGTCGGAGGCCGGGTAGTCGTCCACCAGGTCCATGCTGATCTGGGCAACGGCCCTGTCTAGCTCACCATCAGAGTCCAGATCCGCGTGGGAGGAGAACAGCTCATCAACCATCATCTGAGCATGGCCTAAATCTTTTCTGAAATAAAATTGGAAAAGGAAAGTGTTAAAGGAGGCAGAACATTTTCAATACTCACCATGAAAAAGCTAATTGAGAAACTCAAGTCCCGAATTTTAGCCTGAAGTTACTTACTTTTAATAACATTATTTAAAAGGGACACCTCTTATGCATTCATTAATGCAACAAATATAGGCTGAATGCTTAGAACATGCCAGGCACTGGGGACAGAAGGACAAACACGACATTAAAACCAGTCCAAGACTTCACAAAGTGCATAGTGCGTGGGGAATTAGACGAGTAAGCAGCTGCCCCAGCACTACCGCTGGGGAAGGACAGGGGTGACACCCAAACTGCCGGAGGGGCAGGGGAGCCTCCTCCCCGAACGAGAGGTGGCCGCTAAGGAGGCGGCGTGGCCAGGCGGGGGGGAAGGTGGGGCGGGCACTCCGTGACACAGAGCACACGCACCAGGCCTGTGAGCGAGGTGCCTGCGCCTCGGGGAGCGTGAAGCCACTGAGGGGGGCGAGGTTATCCAGGGAGAACGGGAGGAAAGCTTCCCAGGCGGACCGCACTGAAGGCAGGGTGAGCCAGCGTAAAGAATTAAGACTCTTGTAAGTTGGTCAGAGAGGTCAGAGGAGAAGGTGAAAATGAATCCAAGAGGAGATGAAGCATGGCTCACAGGAAACCTTGAGATGAATCCCGAAGGGATGAATCACAAAAACCAGGGTACAGAAGGTCTCGTACACCGTGTTACAGGGTTTGACCTTTAAGACAGGGCAAGGCACTGAGAAGGAAATGTCACGGTAGGTTCTGTTTCTCCAAAAGATCATTGTAACTATGATATGGAGAGGGGATCAGATGAGAGATCAGAAAGGAAGGAGAAAAATCCAGGAAGAAAGTTATTGCCGAAATCTGGGCAACTGCAGGTGGCCTCCTGTAGTAGCAGCTGCAGGGAGAAGGGAGACAAGTAGGTTTGAGAGAAAGGTCCTTTGAGGTAACTCGGGCAACGGGCTCGATCTGACGGAAGAGGATGACTTCCATGTCCCTGCCCTGGACCAACGAATGGGTGTAACACTTGTCCCTGAGCTGGGGGTAGGAAAGAGAACAAGCGCTGGGGACGAGCAGAACAGTGTTGGATATGCTGAAGCGGAGCTGCCGCTGAAGTGTAAACATTCTCCCTCCGCACATATGGGCCCAGATCATGGCAGCAGGTCTGTGCTGCTTCCGCAAGTGAAGCCAAAGAGGAAGAGACCGTGCAGGGCAGAGAGAAAAGAATGGGAGACAACAGCAACTCGTCCACCAGACAAATCTGCAGGGAGTGTGGCTACGAACAGGAACAAGGAGAAGGGCTGGCAGCTCAGAGGGGGACACGGAGGCTGGTCTTTTAAAAACATGACCAATTAAATACGATTAATGGCTGATGAGGAAGAGCCAGCACAAGAAAGGTCAATGGTGTACAACCAAAGAAGAAACAACTGAGAGTACAGCCTTGAAGGGAAGCAGGAAACGGTGGCGTACTCAACGAAGACGAAGAGCACCTCTCCCCACTTTACAGGGAGGAGAAGAGGAAAAGGGTTTGGGTGCAGGTAGGTGTGTAGTGGTTAAGTACGGGGAGCTGTCCTCTGACGGCTTCTGTTATTTCTGAAGTAGGAGGCATCTGCTGAGGGTGGGAGAGGAGGCAGAGAGACGGCAAAGTAGAGATTAGAAAAGGGTTCAAACGGACTCTCAGTAGAACAGGGGACGGAGCCTGACTAGAGTAACAGAAGAACCGCTTAAACGTGTGAGAGGCTGACCTGGAGCTGGGAACCCAGCTGTGCTATAGGTTCTAGGGATACAAAGTTGACTATGGCAAGATCAATCATTCACTGTTTTAATCAACAGAGTAAGTTTCTGAAACTCTCCCAAACGGAAGATTTTTACGTTTATATTAAGTAAAATGAAAACCAGAATACAAAAATTAATTTCAAAGGAACCATGATATAATAAATAGTAGTATTACCTAAGCAAAAAACTAAACAGATAACGCGAGAGTGCTATATACCAATTCTGACCCCTAGGGAGCACTTGGCAACATGTGAAGATAATTTTGGTCGTCACAAGGTGGGGGAAAAGGAAGCATCAAGGGAAAAAAGGCCAGAGATGCTGCTAAACACTCTACAATTCACGGGACAGCCCCACAACAAAAAAATTATCTGTCCTCAAATGTCTGCAAGTGACAAGGCTGAGAAACCCTGCCTTAAGGTACCACAATTCTGTTTGTGAAGAGTCTAATTCTTAAAGACTAGGAGCTGACCCTACCCCAGAGATGCTTATTTATTAACCTCACAATATTTCAACCACTCTGGGCAGAATAAGTCCAAAGTACAGCTGTGCCAGCAGCCCAAAGACACGGTTCCTAAGGTTACTGGCCTCCCAGGACTTGAGGACAGGAATCCCTTTTCACACTTTATAATCTCCTGTAAAACGTGTAGAAATTATACTGGGTTGAACAGTGTTCCCTTCAAAATCCGTATCCACCCTGAACCCCATAATATGATCTTACTTGGAAATAGGTTTTCGCAGATATGATTAGCTATAATGAGGTTATACTGGATGAGGGCAGGCCTTAAATGCAATGACTGGTGTCATTGTTAGGACATGCGAAGACAGACACACAGGGAAGGCGCGTGAAAGTGAAGACAACTGGAATGATGCACCCACAAGCCAAGGAGAGCCAGCGACTGCCAGCAACCACCAGGAGCTGCGAGGGAAGCAAGCACAGGGTCTTCGCTCGAGCCTTCGGAGGGGGGATGACCCTGTGGGCACCTTGACTTCAGATCTCCGGTCTCCAGAACTACGGCAGAATAAATTTCCATTGTTTTAAGCCACTCAATTCGTAATTTCTTCTATCAGTCAGAGCAACCCAATGCAATGACTACGGTGACTTGATCCATTATCATTTACATTTGAGAAGCCACAAATCTGAATTATTAATTAAAGGAAAACTTTTGCAAGATTAAAATCATGGTATTTTAATCCAAATCTTGGCAGTAGGCTTCAACACCAAGCAACCGAACTACTCAAAATCAGAACCAAAAAACTTGTCTCATGGTGCCTTTTCCATAGAAACTAAGCTCGGTGGATCATTACAATGGCACAGAATTTTAAAACTGAAAAAGCACCGTAGAGTCTGTCATCCCTGCCGCAACAGTGAGCTGCTGTGCACCGGATACCGCTGAGAGCTGGGGGACATGGAGGTAGCAAACCCTGCGTATTTCCTCAAAACAAAGATCTGCTGGAGAAACCGATGATCCTTCATGCCCTCCAGGTGCCACCGCACCCAGCACTTCACAGAGGAAGAAAGGGCATTCCAGAAGTGTTAAGTAATCTGTCCAAAGTCTCACACGGCTAACTAATTAAGGGGCAGAGCCAGGGCTGGCCCACAATTTTCCTGAGTGTTTATGCAAATGTGAATTTACTACACCTTTTAAGGAAGGCACCAGAACACATGATATGCAGAATACGTGTCTAGGACTAACTGAAATCACTGAATTCATCTTTAAACCACAAGCAGAAGGTCAGCAAGTGAGGCAGGCTGAATGCAGCTATTCCCCTCCCTGTGTGCGCCCTTCCCGTGGGGCTCACCCCGTGACTTGCTCGGGCCATCAGGATCTAGCAGATGTGACCCAAGCGGGGAGCGGGGCGGGGGCGGCCGTGCACTTGCCACTTCGGAACCCTGCAATGGAAGAGGACTGCGGGAGACCGCAGACAGGGAGAAGCCGCAGGAAGCGGAGAGGGTTCACCAGTCCAGCCGCCAAAACGTGGGACAGCTGGCAGCTGACCAGACAGGACCAGGAAAGCAGCAACCTAAGCCCAGCCCCAAACAGCCAGACCACAGAATCCTGAGCTGTATGAAACACACCGCTAAGTTCTGTGGTGATTTTGTATATAGCAAAGCCCAGCTAACAGGCCAAGTCTAATTGCTTTATCACACCAATAAAACTTTGTATTTGCCTTCACACTGTACACAAAAGGTGCCTGCAAGCTGTCTTCTTGATCACCCTCTCAATGGGGTGTTGCTTTACATCAAGAGGAGAGGGCACGTCACACCCACGCTTTTCCCATGCCTCGCTGGGACCCTCCCCGCCACCGAGTGCAGGGTAACAGTGTGAGCAGGTGCCAAACTTCGAAACACACTTCCTCCTTCATGGCGCTGTTCTGCCAACTTGCCCCCAGTAGTTGGCAAGTAAAGGGCGTGTCAGTAAAATTTGTTGTCAGACTTTAGCCATAATTTAAAAAACATGTTATACCTGCAGTATTGCAGAAAAGCAGCTTTTAGCAATCTGGTTTTATCTTCCTGGGCCGTGGCCTCATTCTTCGTAGAGGTCTCAAACACCATACTCTGTAAAACAACAAGCTATAATTTAGAGGTGAAGGTATCAGAGCATTAATTCTTGGACTAAAAACTGGGCCCACCAGGGACGCCAGGGACACCAGCTGTTTACCCTGCTCTCTACACCAATGGTTTCTATGCCTAAAACACATCGCAGCAAGATGCCATGCACCAGATGGTCCAAGTCCTGTGGGAAAGGTATATGTAATAGAGTGAAATTATTTGGGGATTTCATCATAACCAACCTTTTTTTGTTTTCTGCTCTAATACAAGTCATCACAATGTATATTACTAAGCACAGTGGCTGATTTCAAGCTTAAACAGGATTTTAAAAATTTTAAAGAAACGGAATACTGCAAGATAGCTTCTGATAACAACAGTATCACAACATCCAGAGGATAAAGATTTTTAAAAAATCATTATTTTTGTTGAAACTGTGCCGAATCACTTTAATTTTTAATTACAGGAATAGTCAGTCTATATATTTCACATACTAGTAATGGAAATTACCCCGAACAATATTATATATAGTGTCCTGCAAAAGAATGATAAAAATCCAATAGATCAGGGATTTCAAGGTTTCAAGATGAGAGAAAAATAAAATTGACGGTTTTTACCCTAGCCTCCCCCCCAAACACCATCTCAAAGTAACCAGAAGAGAAACAAGCACAGCCACCCAAACGCCTGGGGTCCCACCCGCGACACAGGCAGCAGAAACCACGGGAAGAGCCAATGGCAGCAGAGGGGACACGACTGCGGTGCAGGGACAGGCCCTGAGGGGGTTTGGGCCCAGGGAAAAGGACAGTACAGGCTGCGTTTCCGAAATTAGTTGCTTCTGGCAAAGTGGACGACGGGGGTAAGAGATCTAAAAGAACAAATGTTTTCATCACAATTCTTTTAAAAACTGTCTCACTTTTTAAAACATTAGTGGGAAATAGTCTGGTAAAAATTTAAAAATCCTATAGAACCACATTACCTCATTGCTTGGTCCAGCAATTGAAGATGCTAAAGAATCTTCAAGGTCCTCTGCTAACACGGACACATTTTCCCTTGGTGTAACAGACACCACTCCGCTCTTTTTAGAAAAAAGGATAGGAATACCGCCACAGGAACCAGCTCCTAAAATACTATCCCCTAAAAGAAAGAAAAATACACAAGCAATTATACAGAACAAATGCTTTCTAACATCTACCTCCATCAGCAGAAAATCATCTTGATATATTAAGAACATTTTCTTTTCCTTTACAATATTATTCCTACTTTGACCTCAGTTCTTTAATCTCAGATCGAATGTCATGAACCTATTGCTATCTGAAGTAGAAGACTCTGTGTCCCTCAGCTTTAGGACAATAAACACTAGCCATCCCCTGGCCGTCTAGCTCGGCTAGTTGGAGTGTCATCCCAATACGCCAAGGTGGTGGGTTCAATCCCCAGTCAGGGCACAAACAAGAATCAGCCAAGGAATGCATAAGTAAGTGTAACAACAAGTCGATGTCTGTCTGTCTCCTTCCCTTCCTCTCTAAAATCAATTAAGGAAAAAAAAAAAAAACTAGCCTTGCAAGGAGAGCTGCAAGTATATTAAGGAAAAAAATAAAATTATTCATTCTGCAAAATTCAAAACAGCAGCTTTTGCAATCCGATGGGGCCCTCTTGCCTAACTCCTTGACCTCCCGAGTAAGCCCGCGGTGGGGGCAGGCGGAGACTAGGCTCGCTCAGTGCCTCACTTGGTGCGTCCTACCCACCCACAGGCAAGGCTCCCGTGCTGGGACTGGAAAGGCCAGGTTCCATCCGGTTGCCCCACCTGGATTCTGCCCTCTGCCCAACCTCTTTAGAGAAGTACACTGATTAAACCACCTGCTTGGCTTTTTTCCACTCTTGGACGGCTCTCCCCAAGCCTGACCTCCCAGCCCGCCCTCCCTCGCCTGAGTCCAAAACTCAAGATTCTTCTAATCCAGGGGTCTGGACACACTTACTTCGAGAATAACTCAGGCTGAGTCGCTCTTCCTAATGAGAAGTAAGCCATTACTTAGTGTGAGTCGTTTCCTCCGCGGCCTCTTCCCGAGAAGACGCTACTATTTCTTGCCCATACATACGACAGTTCGGACACTCGACCACCCTTTTGGTTTTTCGGTAGGATTGTGACTTAGGCTACTACAGGTGTGTGGTACTGAATGTCCCAGTAACACCTGGAGATGCGGTGCTTGGAGCAACACTTATGGAAAAGGAATCAAGACTACTAAGAAGGACTAGTGAGTTCACTAATCTTGCTTTCCAAAACTGCTGCCATACCTTGGGTGCTGAAGACAATTTTCTCCTGCGGCGGAGAGAACCTCCCGGTCCCTGTGGAGCACACGAAGATGGCACTTGCACTGTACAGACAGGCAGTCTGGTTCGGAAAGTCTGGGACCATCAACCGACACACAGCTGACTCTTCAGACTGAAAATTAGATTTAAAATTACATTTAATAAGAACTGAAACAAAAATGCTTGTTGGTACGATTTTAATACCCCCATTTTTGTACAACACCATCTCGTAACAATGATAAAATAATTCAATGATTATTGTCCTTATGAACACCTAAATGCTACCCAAGAAATGACTTACAAAATATGACAGAATAAGCCTGTAAGAAATAGCAATTAGAGAAATTCATTTGTTGAGCTACAAATGGTAAATTTTTAAAACATTCCATGGTGATGAGATTTTTAACTGGAGGCCTATTAAGAAATATGAGGAAGAAGATCAAAAGGACTAATTCATTGTATTATTTACATTAGATCGGTAAACACTTTGTAAATGATCCCTGATAAACATTCAGCTTCTTCACTGTCAAGGTATCAGGGACAAGAAAATTGAGTTAATTTCTTCACATATAAAATCAGAAGCAGAAATAGAAATAAGACCTAATTACAGTTGACCCTTGAACAACATGGGTTTGAACTGCATGGGTCCATTTATATGTGAATCTTTTCCCAATAAATATATTGGAAAATGTTTGGAGATGTCCCTACTGTGAAGCAACTGCAAGGATTACGCTAGGCTACTGTAAAGCAACCATACTGCTGCTGCTTCGTTCGCAATCCATGAATCGCTGTACCTGCCAATAAATATGTTTTTCTTGGTATTATCTTCATTTCTGATGTCTAATGTTAGTAACACATACAAAAACACCCAGTGTTTTGTATCATATAATACTGATGTACTTATTAGCAGTAAGACAATTCATTTTGCAAACAGATGACAAATTTACAGTAGATTTACAGTACATTATTGTACTGTAAATGTATTGTCTCTCCTTTATTTTCTTAACATTTTCTTTTCACTAGCTTGTTTTATTTTAAGAATATAGTATATAAGAACTACTACACTTCGCGACAGCATGGATGGAACTGGAGAGCATTATGCTAAGTGAAATAAGCCAGGGGGCGAAAGACAAATACCATATGATCTCACCTATAAGCGGAACCTAAGCAACAATACAAAGATGCAAGGAAAATAAGACCAGCAACACTGAAAGAAAAAAGAAACCAACAGAGACGAGAAGGAAGGAGGGAGGGGTGGGTGGGGGAAAAGGAAGGGAAGGGGCAAGTCAAGGAACATATAGCGAGGACTCACGGACAAAGCCAAAGTGGGGAAGGATTGAGGGAGGGAGAAGGGGGAGGGAGGCAGGGGAAAGTGGTGGCGGGAAGGTGGAGACAAATGTATTTGAAAAAATAAATTAAAATAAAATAAAATAAAGGAATATAGTATATAATACATATAAGATAGAAAATATGTGTTGACAGACTATCAGCAAGGCTTCTAGTCAACAGTAGGCTACAAGGAGTTAAGTTTTGGGGACGTTAAAAGTTATATGTGGACTTTCGACTGTGGGGAAAGGGGGGCAGTCAGTGCCCCTCACCCCCGGACTGTTCAAAGGTCAACTGTAAATAAAATTAGCGAATGCTAAAAATAATAGAGTTGTTATTAAAGAAGCAATTTTATAAACAAAACATTAAAAGTGGGATAATTTTTTTAATTCTCCAACTGTCTTCTTTATACCTGTCTGTGTTGTCTGAAAATTTTAACACTGGGTGCGTTTCTTATATAATCAGAATACATGTAATAGTTTTTTAAAATAAAAGAACAAATTAGATTTCCTTACAGTATGCAGTTTCACAAGTCATATTAAGAATAAGGATTTAACAGAACTAGTACTATACAAGGTTAAATGAAATGAGCTTATAGCTGTTAAGGCTTTTCCGCATGAACTCCTTGGGTTTTAAACAATTATGTCCAATTGCTTTAAGAAGCTTAGCGTTAGAGATCTCTCAATGGTTTTAATCATTTACACGAACATTGCTAAGTATATAACACCTACAAATATAATCCTACTTTGAGCAGAAAGGGAATTTTCCTGGAATACACAGGGCTCAGAACCAAACCCCAACTCCTTCCAGGTTTCTGCCTTATCTTTCATCCTGCATGGTGGTGGCAGTTCACCACCATGACTTTCCTTCTACTCAACAACACAGAAATCAGAACCTCTTCACCGCCAGGCCAGGAGACACAAACTGCTTGCTGTCAATTGCTTCACCTTTCGTTTGTCTTTAGCTAAGGCTGAGCAAAGGAACAATTCTGGGACAGCAAACTCAAATGCAATGTCTAAAAAGTACCTATTTAAAGTATGTCCAAGCCCTGCAGGTGAATCTCTCAAAGAGCGTGACCCTGCAATAGTTAGGGAAAGAAAACTCAGCGTGTTGTTATTAGTTTGTGGTTTAACTTAGAGACAGAAATCTTACCTGAAAAGGTGGGTTATACTGCGTGACTTCCACAGTCACCGTGTCCGACATGTGGTGGCCGTTATCCTCGACTGTTATCAGAGAGTAATAGACGAGGCACGGGCTATCTGCTGGGTGCCACGCGGCTGCCAGGACCAGGAGCCCATCGCTAACCGATGCAAAAGAAACACCTTCAGTCTCTTTGGAAAATGGCCTGGCGCTTTCTTATAGACTAAACATACACTTACCATCTGCCCTGCCAATCCCACTCCTGGATATTTTACCCGAGAAAAATAAAACCTGGTGTTCGCACCAAAAACCTGTGTGTAAATGACTGACATCTTTACTTAAAAAATTTTCATGTTTAAAAAAAAAAAAATGAAACTACTTTAGTTAGTAGAGATGATAGGAACAGAATCACAATTTTGCAAATCAGTAAAAACTTGACTAATTTTTATGTAAGTATATATAATTTATATATACGTAATACATTTAAGATTTTACAAATCTTAATCTTACATCTAAAATGAAGGTCTGAGCTTTCTATCAGTAAAATTGATAAGCCTACTCACTGAACACACAAGCCTAGGTTGTGGCTCTGGTCAGGAGCAACCAATCAGTGACTATCAGGAAGACAAACACTATTTTTTAAGAGAAGAAACCCATCCATATGCAGAACACTTGGCAGGGGTCACCAGACCTCAATGCCCTAAGAGAGTAAAGGTTGCGGGAGGGCCAAGGAGAACGGGTGCCAGCCTCACAGCTTCATTAGAATCTTGTTGGCATGACAACAGGGGGTGGGGGGAGTGGTGAGGAGCCCCGCTCTGACCCAACAGCAATTCCCGGGCACGTGTCTATCCTCTGTTCTCCTACCCCATCTCCATTCCAAGAACCATGGGAAAAGCGTTGCACTGTGGCCCACACTGAGCTGTGTCCAGCAGCAGTTCTCAATTTCGAAAGCTCGGTGAAGATAACTGCAAACTGGTAAATGGTATTCAACTAAACTGTTCATGGAAATTACATATATACTATTATATTTACTTCTTTGATAGTTTCTACAAGGTGAAGGATCCTACTCATAACCTGAGAGAGAAAAATCACAGAACTGCAATATCCTTCCAAAAAACAAGGAGATGTGCTCCATGAAACTAAATTACTCTAAAACACACACAGACAGTCTTTAACTTCTGGTGAGTTGTGTTTTGAAGGATTACAAGTCATATATTCACACTCGTTATGAACGTCCTCACAGAAACCACATTACAAATGATTTTTAGGTTCCGTATCACCTTTGGTTTTAAAGCTAAGTAATAAACCAGCTTTGCCAGACTAACCTGGGACCTTAAGCACCACCTTGAGCATCGTTCCTAAGAGCAAAGTCACTGAGTACAAACTGGTTGAGTGCTCACCTGTCCTGCCAAGAAAAAACCGCACCCCACCCTTCCTTTATCACTAGAGCCCCGAACACCAGCTTGCAGAGGCTCCTTCAGCAACAGAGAAAGGGCTGGAGGAGCGTGCCTGGCATGGCGTGAGCCACAGCCGCGGGAAGGGCACCTGTCAGCAGTGGGAAGGAGCCGCAGCCGTGAGAGCAGGAGGGCTGGGTCCTAACTCGGGCAGGACACGAGGGGAACGCACAGCTGCAGGCGGGGAACTGCTGCTCCCTCGCAAGGCAGCCAGCACCTCCGGAGAAAGGACACAGAAGCACGCAGAACGCCTGAAAGCATGGTGAGGTGGGCCCCAGGCCACACAATAAACATCAATTTAGTTTTCCAAACACTTACTTATGTTCTTCATGACAAATTAACTGCTTACCAGTTTTGCTTCAAATCCAGATACCGAATGTTGACCCCTTCTTTAATACCTTCGTAGTTACTTTCAGATCCCTGTGTGAAAATATCAGTATTAGCCCCTTGAGTCTAGAAATCATTTCTTTTCCCCTTTGTACCCCCAACGCCTGGTAACATGCCTCATCAACAGTAGCTCAGTTACTGAATGAATAATGTATGCATTTTAAAAGTGAAGTGAATCAGCAAGTTACGACATTTCTAGAGATTGAACACCAATTTCTGTTTATCTGATGGCTGAGTAAAAATCATGTTTGTATATGACATTAAAATGTCCTTATGAATAAACAGCTAGATGAATTAGAAACGAGTATCACTGTTCCTTACCCAAATGGCATCAGTAATGTTTTCCTTCAGGACTCTGTTTATATCCCAACTGTATACTTGTTTTTCTGAAGACTCATCTACTTCCCATTTGTTGATGTTTGAACTTGTCAGGCTATAAAAGCTTGATCTCTCTCTATCCCAAAGGACACTTGAAAGCTGTATGGAGAGGAGAAAAAGGTCAAGTCTATAGATTAAGTTATAATGTTAATAAACTATTTTTCTGACATTCGAATTTCCTCCATTGGCTGATACTTGATTAGTGCTCCTAGCAGGAGCCTTCATTTAAGGCTCAAAGGCAGGCGCGATCCTGGAACAGAACTCTAAAGGCGAGAGGCCCACGAAGAGCAGAGCTGGGAGGTGGGAAATCAGAAGGGTCTTCCGAGAACTAGCTGTCCTACTAAACTGGAATGCAGATTATAGCCAAGAGGAGGAGAAACACAGGCTCAAATGAGAAATGAGGGACACCCAGTAGAGACTCCTGAACATAAGCTCATAAACCTCGCAAGCAAGGGAGGCATTATGTCCCAGGAAAACGAGTCTGGCAGGGAATCTCTGCAGCTGGTTATACATGAGTATGTTATTCTGCCTTTTAAGCATATGCTTGCTCATGAAGCACAGATGTGTTGTTGTTGTTGTTTAAGTTGGACATATATGAGCGTTATTTTGGGGGATTTTTGCTGCCGAAAGCTTTATTGTTTCTGTTTGGCCCAATGCAGGGGACAGAGCTCCAGGGTGGTTAAAATAAAGCTGCCTAGTGGTTGCTAGGAGGGGCTCAGGTAGAAACCAGACCCCAGGGGGATGCAGAAGGGCTCCTCAAAGGCCTCTGGGCTCTACAGGCTCCGAGCAGTGCTCAAGGGTGAGCCTTTCGGAGATGCGCCCACTACCACCTGGGGGCCGGCCAGCCCGTGGTGGTGAGCCAGGTATCGCCCATCTTCTCGATGAGTTTCACCCCCTCATCCAGGAAGTGGTTCTGCAGGAGGTCACAGAGCTCAGGGTTGTGCAGGCAGGACCAAGGGCCTGCAGATCCACAAGGGCCTGGTTCAGGTTCTTCTCCAAGGCCATAGTGGCTTCCATGGTGTCCTGAATTTTATCCTATTTGTCTTGGGAAGACTTCAGCATGTCCTGGAACACAGCCACCATGCTGGTTTTAGGTCTTCAAGAGACATTCGGCACTCTTGCGCTTCTTCTTGGCCAATTCTTGGAAGAAGCGGCCCCCGCCCTCTAGGCCACGGCCTCGTGGTAGAAACAGATGCCCAGAGAGAGGTGGGCGTGGGAGGCTACTGACTGGTTGGCGGCAGCCCCCACCTCGGTGGAATAATGCTGAGTTTGGGACTTATGGTTGTTCGGCAGTAAGGACTTAAGGTCAAAAAAAGGCGCTGCCTGGACTCGGAGGCTGAGGGTGGCTAAGATGGTTCCAAAGGTGGCGACCGGAAAAGAGACTGCAGCGTGGTCAGAGGCTGAAAGAAGGGGTGTCCCTGAGTCTGCTCCATCCAGACACTGCTGCAGCAAAGGCAGGTTTGGAGAACCACCAAGGGCACTGCCTGCATCTGAGTGTTTTGAATTAAAACCCCAATTGTCTCCCACTCGCCTGCACTGTAAACTCTGGGCGCTAATGGGATAGAAGAACCCACAGCGGGTGAACTGGACGGGCACCAAGAGCTGATGGGAAATTTACCAGGAGTGTGGGTAAGGGCCTTACAACAGAAGCAGACAGATGGGGGTGGAAACGTGATGGTATGACCCAAGTCAAATCTACAGAACCCGGTCAATAACTAATCTGCTACGAAGGGAGAGACACGTCCCCACCCCCCAAAAATCGAGATTTAACAGAGAGGAGATGCTCGGTCCGTGTCAGCGCCCCTCACCCTCCCTTCACTATTCCGGAGCTCAGGGAAGCCCCGCCGACAGATCTAGACCGGAGTCATCCGCACACAGAGCTGCAGCCATGGGAGGGGAGAACACACTTTTGGTTAAGTCTACAAAGCAAAATTAATCCTGAAACACATTTACCCTTTTACATAATAGTTTTCATGCAAAGAATGCAGCATCTATAAGATAATCTGTATGCCTTAAGAATGTTAATGTTATAGGGTATGGGAGGGGATTAGTATAAACTCATTTGATCATCCTAATAAAAATGTTTCAATGAAAAGGTCGAAAGTGTAATTTCATGTACACTATTGTTCGTAGGGAGGCAACATCAACTTCTTAGGGAACTTCCAACTTAGGATTTCACTGAGAAACAAGCTTGTAAAACCAAGTTATTTTATCAACTTACTATGAGATCACTGCTAGGCGATAAGATTCCCAAAAGAGAAGAAACCTTGCGACCAATCCCGGAAAGCACGCCCTGCCCCTGAGGCAGGATGCGCTGGTGAATCTTTCCTAAGCTTTCGGGTGTGAGGCGAACCAGCTGGCCCCCAGATGCGGACAAAATAAAACTTCCTCCCTGTGAACAAACATTGTGAAATTAGTTCAGTTAAGTGTCTAAGACTAAGATAAAGAAAATGAACACAAAATGCTTTGATATGGAGAAAAATCACCTATACCTTAAAACAAATCTAAAAGAAAAAAGGGAACTACATTATTAAAATAATTTACTTATGAAGCCATTTAGTTAATATTAATAGTTCTCCATAGAAAAACTTTGGTTGTAGTTTTGTTTAACCGCATATTTTTTTCCTGATTTTTAAATTCAGCGTTCACCATACGGCAGGTTCAACAAATCAAGCATCAGATTTTATTTCTTTGGTAAACCTGCAGAGGATACATTAGCAAACCATTCTTCATGGTGTCTAAGAGTTTTTAAGTTACTCTTGTAAAATGGTCCTGAAGGACATGAACACCAGTAGCTACTATCAAGTATTGGTATTTCAGAGCCCTGTGAAGAGGGCTTTCTTTTTTTTAACTGTTCAAATCATAGGCCCCTGCATCCTTCTTGGCTCTTTCGGGTCCCGGCCCGGCCTGTATGCTCTGTTCAAAACCCTGCATCTTCACTCGTTCAAATCCCACTTCCAAGCCACATCACAGCTTTCCAATAAATACAAAAGAACATCCATCGTGTACCTGCACTGCTGTTAGGAAACTGTAAGTCTTATCACCTCCCAAATCTACGAAACTCTCTGTGTAGGTGTCTTCACCAGCAAGACTCGGCCAATAGCGAATGGATCCTTCCCTGGTGGCAACCATGACTGCAACAGACTGAAAGCAAGGTAACAATCAGCAATCACAATAAAAGCAGCACCCAATAACTGGGAGTAGCCTGATGAAACTGGTACGAAAAAAGGAGGACAATTTACTATTTGATTAGGAAAACTCATAAATAAAAACCTTTTTATATTTTAAAAATTATCATACAGTAAAATCGATTGTTTAACTACCAGAACATAATAGGGACACGGGACAGTTCCATGGGCCCGCAAAATTCCCTTTATGGCCACGTTCTTCCCCCATCCTAACTCCTGGCAACCGCTGCTTCCATCATTATTAGTCTCATCCTGCTCAGAACGTCAAATAAATAAATTCGCACAGAATGTAACCTTTTGACACTGGCTTATCTCACCAGCACAACGTATTTGAGATGCACGGTCAACAGTTCATTTCTTCTTACTGCTGAGTAGCGCTCCACTCTATGGCTCCACTGGTTTGTTTATTCATTTACTTGCTAAAGGCCATTCGGGCTGTCTCCACCTCTGGCTATTGTAAATCAAGCTGCTGTGACATTCCTGTAGTTTTGTGTGTGAATGTAAGTTTTAATTGCTCCACGGTAAACAGCCAGGAATGGATCAGTTGGGTCCTTTCAGGGTAAGGGTATGCTTAATGCATTTTAACCTTACAAGACAGTGAAAATCAAGTGCCTATACCATTTCGGCATGCCCGGCAGCATGAGCTGCAGCTGCTCTACATCCTTGTTAGCACTCGATAGTATCAGTCCTTTTGATTTTAGCCACTGTGATAGGCATGTAGTGGTACCTCAAAGCTGTTCCGATTTGCATTTCCCTAATGGCTACTGATGCGAACATCTCCTCGTGTGCTTATTTGACATCCTTCTATCCTCTTTGGTAAAGCATCTGTTCGAGTCCTGTGCTGTTTTTAGATTGAGTTGTTTTCTTATTAAGCTTGGAGAGTTCTTTCTACATTCTGGATACAAGCCGTTTGCTGATTATTTCACTTACAAATATTTTCCCCCAGTCAGTAGCTTGTCTCTTCATTCCCTTGTGTCTTTTGCAGAGCCAAGTTTTCAATTATGCTAACTGCAATTTATCCATTTTTCTTTTATGAATCATGCTTTTGGTGATTTCTAGGAACTGTTCTCCTCATCCCAGGCCACAATGATTTTCTCCTGTTTTCTTCTACAAGATTTATAGTTTCATGTTCTACATTTTGATCTGCGATCCATTTTGAGTTAATCTTTGTATACGTATGAGGCTCAGGGGGATATTCCTTTTTTGGTTTTTGCATAAGGGTGTCCAATGGTTCCAACACCACTTACTGAAAAGACGGCATTTATTCCACTGAAGTGCTTTTGTACCTCAGTCAAAAATCAAATGGCCACCTTTGTGGGGGCGTCCATTCCGTTCTGTTCTGCTGCCCAAGTGTCCATCTCTTTGCTGACACCAGTGTCTTAATTCCTATAACTCCAAAGTTATGTCTCAGAACTAAGTCAGACGACCCCTCAAACTTTAGAACTCCCTTATTTGAAAAACAAAATTATTCCAGTAAGTATTTAAGTCACCTACCTGAGTGGAATGTGCTTCACCTGAGGGATCAGAGTAAGAGAGAGCCACCAAGTCTGCGCTCCAGTGGAAATCACTGGGTGGCAGCTGAAGTTCTTTGCAAACAGGTAACTGCGGAACAAAGCCAAACAAAGACCTTTCATGTCAAACTCAACTTTTTAAGTATGCAGCTGACTTCACTACTTCCTTTCTCTACATAGTTTACGTTCTGATTCATTGCTAGAAATATCATTCTACAAATATACTTCTCACACACAATTTTTGATCAGGCTTCCAGTAATTTTGAAACTCAGTTTCTTAAGAGATATAAAATCAAGAAAACTTAAGAGCTAGACTTGATCCTGAATATTAACTAGTCTGGTCTCTTCCTGCACTGAAAAAAGTCTATTAGTTAAAAGAAGTATGTAGGCTTCCTATGGGGTTTTCCCAATCCAGTCTTGCCTTGTTTATTTGATATTTGAAATCAGCATGACCACACAGTGATTATACTAAGTTGCCCAGAAAATATTTCTTAGACTCAGCAGAGTATCAGGCTCCGTCTGCTGACTCATTCTGTCCCCCCAACTCCCAGACCTGTCCCTCACTATGTGCCTATCTAAAATATCTCGCCCCGGCCAGTGGTTCAGTTAGAGCATCGTCCCATGCACCGAAAGGTTGCAGATTTGATCCCCAGCCAGGGCACATGCGTAGGTTGAGCATACAATAGGCAACCAATTGATGTTTCTCTCTCACAGTGATGCTTCTCTCCCTCCCCCCGTTCAAAAATCAATAAAAACACATCCTTGAGTGAGAATTAAAAATTTTTTTTCAATGTCTCTAATTTTATTAAGTATAAATAACATGGATCTTGTTTAAAAATTATTAAGTTGAGAAACCTTCCCAACACACAAATGCATATGCATGCTCAGTACTTCGTATCCCCATGAAAATGCAAACCCACAATGCTTGAGTAGACTCAGATCACGGTCTTCCAATAATTCTAAAAATTTACAGTAAAAATTAAGCGCCAATTGGTTCCCCTCCTTGATCTCCTTTACCTAATGAGCCATTACCTTAGAAATAGGTGACAGAGCAATCTTCCAAATCATGAGTTTGTCTTTGCAGACCAGACAAGCCCATCCGCCTTCGTCTATGTGAACAGTCAGCTGACCACTGTCTAAACAAAAATATGAGGTACACAGTTCATCTTAGCATATGAATAGCAACTGTTAAAATTTCCTTTTACCAAAATCATCTTTGTCAGTTTCTTCACCAAAAAAATCACCACTCACAAAAAAAGATTAATTCACAAAAAAAAATTCTTTAATATAATTCAAGTTATCAATATCCAAAACAAGAGATCCATTTAACTTTGATAACCACTTTTAGAAATGTATCTAAAGACAAGAAGTTTATGTTGGGCCTAGGTTTAATTTTTTTCAATTTTTGTTATAAACACATATCTTATTTTCTGCAATACTTAACATTCATAATTTTATTTTGATAAAGTAACTGAAATAATTAGCCTTCCCATTAAATATACGAAACATTTCAAGGGAAGATCATGTTCCTTCAAACCAGAGCTTTTTGAAAGTACAATAAATTACTTCATTATATGGAGACATAGAGGGTTACATTCCATATTAAATGACAAATACTTAACTAGTATATTGCTCTTTTAAGCATTAGAGGTAAGCCTCCATAACCATGTTAACAGCCCTGGAAAATAATTAATTTGACTTTGCTCTTTGTTGAAAGGCAGGGTGAAGAGGCAAAACAAAAGGAATCAATAATGTACAAGTCACAGTAACAAATTATGCCCAGGCTAAGTGTGGCTTTTGGCTGAAATGGAATTTCTGCTCAGTACTTTTCTCCCTGAAAGCACTATAGCAGCTCCAAATCCTCTGTTGGTGAGCCCTGCAGACACAGACTTAACACACAGCACCTGGCAGGTTTTCACGTGTGGAAGAGTTCTTCAAGTTTACACACTGCTTCAGCTTACACATCCTCGTTTCTAGGGATTCCTGTACTACTTGTTAATAACATAGCCTGGCAGCATGAACCAAGAGTTTGTTAAAGGCTTTTAACATACGATATGTACTATATTTGGGGGAGGGGGTGGGGGAGAGGTGGAAGTATGCATTATATATTTAAAACAAAACAATGCATGGATGAGGTTAGCAGTTCAGTTGTCTGAAAACAACTGCACCTGAAACTCCCAAGGACTTATGGCAAGATGTGCAAGTTCAAGGTAATGAGAAATATTCCTTCTTCTAATGGAGTACTTTAAACTTTTCTGTCATTCACAATATGAAATACATTTTGCATCATGATGCACTGACGCGCAATTTAAATAAGTGACTTAACTTTGTATGAGATGAACTGATATTCAGCATTCTATTTTATTTCATTTTTTAAAAAAATGCTGGTTATAACCTACTACGCTGATTTCAGTCACTATTTACAGTTTGAAGAACAACGTTTCAGAAAAACCACCAAGATCTAGAATTGAATTCTTTATAAAAATGACTCAGATCATTGAGGATGCTCTGAAGTCTGCTCTTCAGTTACCCTTACCCTCAACCTCAACGTAGCTATTCTGAGGCTTGTGTTGACTGCATCTTCCAAACTTCCATTCTACCTCTCTGTCAATAGGATCTTCTAAAAGTACCCGTATAACATCATGAATTTGTGCAGAGTCTCTGCGATGCTACACAAAATCCAGACATGGAGCTAAGACTGACTTTACTGCATTATTAAACCCAGTTAACATGAGGCACTAGTTTTGGGTTGTTTTTTTTAAGCTAAATTTCATACACTCAACTTTTGAAATTGGACTGAGTTTTGCATACGCAGTACTTAACAACCATTAAAGATCTGCCTGTGCTGGAATAACTCGTTCTGCTTTTCAAGTTATACTTCTCCGTTAGAGTGAAAAACCATACAGGTTCCCTCTTTCTCCCCATTTCGGTGACGGCGTATCAGAAGCAAGCACCTTGCACTCTCCATGCTAGAACGAGGCTCCATCTGAATTGCTAATCGAGGCGAACGGAAAATGACACCCACCTTCAGGCAACCCTAGGGCTTCCATGATTTTAACAGGAAGAGTCGATCCGAGCACTTTCACGTCATAGTTCGTCGCCTCAGTTACGGAGTGATGGGGCAGCATTCGTGTAGGCGTCCCTCTAAAGGAAAGGGACCATGATACTTCACTGTAACTTTTACTTTCCATTATCCTAATGTTTACACGTATGCTTTCACAATAAAGAGCTTTGATAAACCAGAAATATGAAGCGTAACAATAAAAACTGGCTCATCATGTACTGATGTAATTAATTGTATTTTTCATTTAAAAAATTGATAGAATTTAGAAAAACTTGGCTTCAGACTCTTAAAACTCAGGTGTTTATATGCATGTACCATTCGCTTAAATGCTTTATAACTCTGCTGCCTTAGCTGTGAAATAAGGTTGAACTATATCAGTGTTTTTCAAATTGTGGGTAATTCTGAGGGGCTCAAGACACACTTTTGAAAACAAAATAGAATGGAAAAGAGTCAAAAAACTTTTATAAACTTTGGATATTATCTTCAAGCTCTCATTACCACTACAATTACAGGAGCCTACCAGGTCTGTATGATCAAACAAGAAATTAAGCGGGTCATGAGCATCTGCTGTTACCTGGCCTTCAATCCAGCAGAACAGCAGTAATTATATTCCTTCTCAGCTTTATTTTAACATTCAGAAAAACAAGGTAAAAGTACCAGTTTAGAAGTTACTCGGTCTCATATGACAATTAAATGAGTGGATGCAAACACAGAGGGGTCAAGAGCTTTGTTTACCAACAGAGTATTGTAACAAAGGCCTTTTTCAAATGGTCACCAGCAGGGGAAATAAAAATACAGTAAATGAAGTACGACTTTTATTCTTTGTCTTTTCTTAAAGGAGGGAGGGGAAACACTAACAAGACCAGTACTTTGAAGGGCACTCTTCAAAATGCACAAGTCAAGGATACCACGTATTCTTTAAAAAATCATTTCTCCTTTAAAGTACTGCAAAGTCTCACCTCAAACTAATACGAAATAATAGTGAATGTAGACAGTAATTGCAAAAATAAAATTACTCAATATTAAAGTTTTCCTGCATGGGAAAACTCATTTTTGACAGAGGAATTAAAAAAAAACCAAAACTATTCAGAAACATGTTACCCTCTCCTGAAGATCTAGATTAATTTTGAAAGGGGAGGGAGGTGTGGACCAATGATATGGACTGGTGCGCCAAGTTTTTATTTGGTTACAAAATTATTATCTCATGATTCATGGAAAGACTTCTCCCTATTAATGTGGCTACAAATTAACTTCTGTACCTAAAAGCCCTTTATAATCCCAATCAGCAAATATTAATGGCAGTCAGTATGTTAGGTATTAATGATTTTCCAGGGCTGGAGGCCCTCATTCCCACCATTAATTCATATCTCGTCGTGGCATTTCATATGGACCCCTTTGGCTTTAGTGAAGCAGGCTCCGAGCAGTATTATCGCCTTTGCACCTATGAAGAGTCTGAGTAACTTACGAGATCGTGGGGGTAGCAAGGGGGAAGGACGTAACCACTGATTCAAATCCAGTTTGTTCTTCATCTCTATACAAAGGTAATTCCATGAAAAGGGCAAAGTGAAGAGACAACTAATGAATTAAAGTGATGCTGAAATAACCCCCAAGGGTAGCGGAAGTCTGTTTTTCCAATACTTGGGCATTCGCCGCCTCCGATTCCGGAGGCTTCTCGAGGCACTACCCTACCGGGCCCACCAAGGCCCGTACACCTGTGAGCCGCCAGATCCAACCGCGGACCACCACTCACCGCGAGCTCACCGAACTACGCCGACCGACCGGAGAGAAGAGCACCGGGGAGCCGACTGCAGGCCCCAGGGATAGACCCTTTCTACTTGTCGCCCGCGGCGTGGAACCCGGCCCGATCCCGCCCAGCGGGCCCCTTCGGGTTCCAGGCCCCGGCGTCCGCGGAGAGGAGACGGCCGAGAACATGACCAAAAACAAAAGATGCAGAGAGCGCGTGGGTCCCGACCGTGGGGCGGCACCACTGACCGCGCGCAGAGCTTGAACACCCAAGGGGCGGGAGGGCGCGCCGTAAATACGTCAAAGCGCAGCGCCACGGGGCGTGGCCGGGGCGGTGGGGGATGGGACGGCGGGCGCTTGATGATGATGTCAGGTCGCAGCCCCGCAGTCTTCGGGCTCCTGAACTCGCGAGGGTGCAGGTGTTGGCCCCGGCCCCCGGCGGCGTAAGTCCCCAATTTCTGGGGAGGTGAAACTGAAAGCCGGAGGCTGCTCTCGACTCCAGGGTGGGGCTGGTTCTCCAACAGCTGGAACGCAGGCCTCTCTGCGCGCTGTCTTTACTGAGCCTCTTGGCAAATGAAAAATGTTCTCTGGTCCGAGATGAAAAGAGAGAAGCCGTAAAACTGACGCTGGTTTCACGCTCAGTGTTACGTTTGTTCTCTAGGTTTGTCATTTTCCCATTGAGCTCTGCACAGGTCCATTCACGCTTTCTCGCTCCAAAACCGCAGGCTCCTGACAGCTCCCTGGGGGACACTTTTCACCTGAATGTCCTGCAGACTCCTCATAATACTCTTGTCAAAAGTCGAGTTTATGTTTTCCTTTAGGACCCCTATCCTACTACCACCTCTGCCCCTTTTCTGTAAAACTGGGCAATTGCCCAAGGCAAAAAGAAAACCTCTGTCTTAGAGTCATTCCTTTCGACTGCCTCGGCTGTAACGTCCCGCTACAGAGAAGCTCCTGAGTACCGCTCCTCTCACACTTACACTCTCTCTGCCCTGCACTCCTTTCCTCTCTTTTTTTAGCTGTTAGCCCCCTTCCTCCCTTCCTTCCTCTTTTTTTTTTTTTTTTTTTGTCTTCTTGTCTCTGTCTCGCTTTAGCCTGCCCAGTCCTTCCCACTGCCAACATAATAAACTAAGGTAAACCTGAAGCTGCTCTTGGGCTTGCAAATGCTCTGGTGGCTGACCGTCCTTGCCTATAGGGGATTTGCTAAGGTCCTTTGCAAGGTCCTTTGTGACTTAACTCTGGTTGGCTTTTCTGTTCCTACCATCTTGACCACCTCCAACGTGCACCCCACATTGCAAAAAGAAAAAAAAAAACATATCCCCTGCTTCCAATGCCTTTGCACATGTTTCTTTCTCCTGGAATGCCCTTCCACCCCTGTTGCCCTCAACATCAACTCTTACTTCGAGCGTCTACTTCAAGCATCCAATCTGCCCGCTCAGTGAAGCCTTGCACAGAATTAGATACCCCTTTGTTCTTTGCCCCTTGTGTTTGGGTGTGTAAGCTATTCATAATTTTTCCCCCCTAGCATAGACTGTTTACATAAATGTCTCTCATGTAGCTCCTTTAAAATGTCTTAACAGCAGGGACAGTGGTTGTAACTGTGTGCACACCAAAGCAGGCACATAGTAGAGTTTCAGTAAATACAGGGTGGCGCAAGAGTAGGCTTACAGTTGTATGTGAATACAGAGTGTATTCCTGTATTATTATTATTATTATTATTATAGTATTTCCGATAAGAACTGCAAACTTACTTTTGCCCCACCCTGTATGTGTTGAAATAAGGGAAGGGACAAGTAAACACTGCATATCCCTGTGGGAGAACACAGTGTGTCACTTGTTGACGTTTCCCCAGGGAGCCATTTTTTGTGTACATTAAGAGCATCTGCACAGCCACTACTTGAAGGTTCTATAGGCAAGCTGCCTTGCTCCTTTGCCCACATAGGTTTATAACCCTACTTTGCAGCTTGTTTTTGAGTCTTAGAATTCTTAGAGCCCAGTGCATTTGCTCCTTGTTTCATTTTCACTTGGGAAGGAGGCAGTGAAATGGAGATGAGTCATGTGTGAGAGGGTGTTGCTGGGATAAATTTGTTCCTGAGCTTTGTTGGGCTGGTCAGTGGTTTGCCCACCATTTAGTTCTAAAAGATGCGATCTGTCAGCGCCTATGAGCAGGAACTTCCCTGGAGTCCGGGTGTATGACTATTGAAGGACGGAGGGTGAACAGCACTATGTCATTCATTCATTATGAATTTAATGAGTACCCACCATGTGCCAGGCCATGTCAGAGGTGTTACAGTTTGTAGACAAAACAGGCATGGGCCCCAGACCAGTGAGAAAGACAGATACTGAACAAATGAACACAAGTATAAACTATAAACCAAGACATGTGCTATGAAAGAAGAGAGCAGCGTGTATGATGGGGAATTAACTGGGGGTGCCTAATTGGAGGGAGATCTACGACAGCCTCTGGGAGAAGAGGCTGATTAAGCCAAGACATGAAGCAGGAGGTAGGCAGAGAACAGGACGAACAGTGTTTTAAGCAGAGGTTGCTCAGGCAAAGGTCCTGAAGCAGCAAAGAGCTTGGTGCATTCCAGGGGCTTTAAACCAACCAACGAACCTCAAAGGACTAAAAGGAGAGGAGACTGGAGAAATGAGGAGTGGTCATGAAGGGACTTGTCAGCTGTCTCAAACAAAATCCTAGAGGAAAGAGCACCCTCACACTGGGTGGTTAAGGGAGTTTAGTAAAGAAATCTTCGGGATAGTGCAGAGCCCTGAGGCTCCTAACAACAGATAGGATGAGAAAGGGAGGGGTCCCCAGAACCTGAGAAACAGGGCCACCTAACAGAGCTGTGGCCTCGCATCTAGAGATGAGGGAGGAGGACACTAGTACGGTCCATGGAGGTCAGCCTCCTGGTGTAGGTCGTGGGTGGGACAGAAGATATTCGGGACCTATGCCTAGGGACAGCATGTGTACTTCTTTATGACGCCTCAGTACTCTACTTTTTCCTAGTGGCTGCCTTTTTTTTTTTAAACCTTATTTTATCTATTGTAGTTGCTTACACTAGAAATCTAGGAGAACAGATAGACCAGGGCAGTGGCTGTCACGCTTAAGCATCACCTGGAGGGCCGAGGCTGGCTTGCTGAGTCCTGTCCTCAGAGTGTCTGACTGGGGAGGCCTGGGCCTGAGGCTCGAGCATTGGCTCTTCTAACAGGTGCCCAGGTGCTGTGATGCTGTGGCGCTGTGTGGGGGCCACTTTGTGAGAACCACTGGTGCTGTCATTGAGAGAGTGTATAGACTCAGGAATTGAAATGGGACTTGCTTTAAATCCCACCTCTGCTATTTACTATCTGTGTCACCTTGTTAAGCTTCTGTTAAATTACTAGTAGAACCCACTTGTGAGCAATACATAATATATTGCAGATAGGACTCCCCTTGGGGATGTTCAAAAACAAACAGAAAGGCAAACAAGCTGAAGAAAAAACATTTCCAATAAAATAATAACTCTTTAAAGCATGAGAAAGCAAGCTACCCCAATAGAAAAATGGAAAAGTTGGAAGGGCGTGATGGCATTAGATCAAAGACTAGAAATGACCAAAACACATGAAGAGATCTTCAATTCACTAGCAATTAGAGAAATGCAAATTAAACCCATCAGCACTGTCTGTCTGCCCACTGAACTAGCAGGAATGTTTTAAAAAATGAAAATAGCTCGTGTTGAAAGGTTATGGGGAAATATGTATCATCTTACACACTTCTGGTGGGATCATGAATTTGTATAATTTTTTAAGAGGATGATAAAAAAAACCTTGTATGTATGATCCATGGATATGAACTAAGGGGGGGGGGATGCTGGTGGAAGGGGGGGTGCAGTACGGAGGGGAATAAAGGGGAGAAAAATGGGGTAATGGTAATAGTATAACCAATAAAATATACTTTAAAAAAATAAAAAATCTTATATGCTCTTTAAACAAGGCAATTTCACTTTTAGAAGTTTATCTGAAAGAAATCATAACAAAGCTATATTGATAGATTGTTCATAACAGCAAAGAATATAGGAACTAAGATAAATAGCCAACAATAGTCTTATAGTATATTCACATTACAGAATGCAGTATGGTTAAAAAAGAATACATGTGGATGTGTGTAATGAATACTTAAAAGATGTAGGAAAATATTCTGTTTTCAAATAAGAAAAGTGGATTGGTTAAAAAAAATGGCATGCCCCATATACATCCATTTTTGTTTTATAATTATAAAATGAAGATATCTCACAAGTATAGGCATGTGTATGTGCATGGGAATCTCAACGTGAGGATGAGCCTCCCCTCTGAACACCCTTCCTAAAACACTGCCCTTTCAAGTAAGGCCGAACTTTGATTTATGTGGGAGTAATCCTTGCAATCCACATGAAAATAGCCAGAATTGTGTCCTGTTATTAAAGTGGAAATGCAGGGGAACTCATGGCTCTGGCTGGTGTGGCCTAGTGGACTGGGTGTTGTCTTGCAAAGCAAAAGGTCACCAGTTTGATTCCTGATCAGGGTACCTGAAGCCGATGGATGTTTCTCTCCCTCTTTTTCTTGTCCCTTCCAAAAAATAAATAAAATCTTAAAAAAAAAAAAAAACTCATTATGGAAATTACCCATGGCCAATCATTTTCAAGGTATTTATCTAATTCTAAATGGCAATGGAACTTTTCCACGGAATTCTAAAGTCCCGTGTGGTGTCAACGTCCTTCGGGCAGTGAGGAGCCGTATTGTTCTCACCGGTTCTGGCGTCAGCAGGCGCCTGCTGTTGAGGGCCAGAGAGGAAGCGTCTCTGGCTTGCAGGCTGCTGCTGCAACTGCTCATGAATGAATGCTTCTCTGTGCCAATAAAACTCACATTATGGATGCTGAAATTTGAATTTCATGGACCTTTTATGTGTCTTGAAATATTTTTCCTTTGATTCTTAAAAATTATTTAAAACTGTAAAAATGAGCCAGTTTGCTGACCCCTGCACCCACTCTGTGAGGATGACACAACCAGAACCGAGCACAGGACCTAACAAGACAGAAGACGTGCAATGCTTGTTTATTTATCTGTTAAATGTATTGATTTTGAGAGAGAGAAAGGGGGGGGACATCAGTTGTTCCACTTATTCACGCATTCACTGGTTGCTTCTCGTGTGTGCCCTGCTCAGGGATCAAGCTGCAAGCTCCGCGTGTTGGCATGATGCTCTAACCAACTGAGCTGCCCGGCCAGGGCCAGTACATGTTTACTGAATGAGCTGAGTGACACCATGATGCTTCAGATATGGAAAACATGCAAAAAACAAAAAGCTCCTAAAGGAATACTGACAATGTAGTTTTCACATACTTTTTTCATTAATATACTTAGTTTTGTAATGTTTGTTTTTATTTATTTTCTAACAACTTTGCCATTTTTGTGGAATAAAATGGACTTCCCAAAATGGAGCTCTACTTTATAAAAGTGCATTACAAGGGTGTGGCCTGTAATGGTTTAATTTGTGATTATTTCTAGGGAACCAGTCGGGTCCAAGTTCACAAGAAGACCTTGCACATAAAGGTAAGCCTGAGAGGGTAGTCACCACAATGCTAAACTCATGATGTGCAATTTTATCTTCACATGTAGGATTTCAGATAATTTAAGTTTTCTTCTTTTTTGCTTATTTCCTAAATTGCTTATATGAACATACATATCATCCTTCAATGGCTCTCTGTGCCCTCTCTCTAAAAATAAGTAAATAAAACCTTAAAAAAACACAACATGCTATTAAACAAAGACTGGGTCAAAGAAGAAATAAAAGATCCCTAAAAGATACATAGAGGCAAATGAGAATGACTATATGACACATCAAATTTTGAGTGATGCAGCAGAAGTGGTAATAAGAAGGAAGTTTACAGCATGACATACTCACCTTGGGGAATAAGAAAAATCTCAAATACACAGGCTAACATTTCACAATGAAGAAGTAAAAAGAACAAACAAAGCCCAAAATCAGTAGAAGGAAGGAAGTAATAAAAACCAGAGCAGAATTAAGTGAAATGGAGAACAAAAAGACAATAGAGAAATTAATAAAACAAAGAGCTGGTTCTTTGAAAGGAATAATAAAATTGACAAACCTTTCACTAGACTCACTTAAAAAAAATTCAAACAAAATAAAAAATGAAAGAGGAGTTACAACAGACTATATAGAAATACAAAGCACTATACAAGAATACCATAAAAGGCTATATGCCATCAAGTTCGATAACCTAGCAAAAATGGACAAGTTCTTAGAAATATATAACTTTCCTAGACTGAACCATGAAGAACTGGAAAATCTATATAGATTGGTCAACAGTACGGAATTGAAACAGTCATCAAAAAGTAGAAGCCCAGGAGCAGACGGTTTCACTAGTGAAGTCTACGAAACATTTCAAGAAGATTTAATACCTATCCTTCTCAAACTCTTCCAAAAAACTGAAGAGGCAATACTTCCTAACTCATTTTATGAGGCCAACATAACCCTGATACCAAAACCTGGCAAAGACAAACACAAAAACAAAATTATAGACCAGTATCTCTGATGAATATAGATGCAAAACCCTAAACAAAATACTAGCAAATCAAATATAACACATTAAAAAAAATCAAATGGGGTTCATTCCACACGCATAAGAATGGTTCAACATATGCAAATTGATTGTGATACATCACATTAACAAAATAAAGGATAAATATCATATGATCATATTAATAGATGCAGAAAAAGCACTTGACAAGTTACAACATCCATTCATGATTAAAACAATAAATGGATATAGAAGGAAAGTACTTTGACATAACAAAGCCCATATATGACAAACCCTCAGCGAGTATCATATTCAATGGTGAAAAACTGAAAGCTTTTCCTCTAAGACCAGGAACAAGATAAGGATGCCCATTCTCAACCATTATTATTCAACATAATGCTGGAGGTCCTACCCAGAGAAGTCAGGTAAGAGAAAGAAATAAAAGGCACCCAAACTAGGAATGAAGAAAAATCATCACTCTTTGCTCTAGATGACATGATTCTTTTTTATAATCTACAAATATTTCTTTCTTAAAATATTTTTCAATTACACTTTACATCTAGTATTTTGTATTAGTTTCAGATGTATGACATAATTATTTATATATAAAACTCTAAAGATGCCACTAAAAAGCTATTAGAAACAATAAACAAATACAGCAAGGTTGCAGGATATGAAATCAATGTACAAAAATCTATTGCATTCCTATATACTAACAATAAAATATTAGGGAAAAAAATGAAACAGTTCCATTTGCAGTTGCAACAAAAATAATCAAATACCTAGGAATAAACTTGACGAAATATGTAAAGGAGCTGTACATTGAACACTATAAGACGCTGTTGAAAAAAGTGGAAGAAGACACAAAGAAATGGAAAGATATTCTATGTTCATGGTTTGCAAGATTGAACATAGTCAAAATGGCCACAGTAATTAAAGCAATATACAGATTCAATGCAATCCCCAACAAAATCCCAATAGTATTTTTCAAAGAAATAGGACAAAAAATCATCAAATTTGTATGGAACCCTGATCAGCCAAAGTAATCATGAGAAAAACAAATGAAGTCAGAAGTATCACATTCCCTAACTTCAAATTTTACTACAAAGCTACAATAATAAAAAGCGGTATCGTATTGGCAGAAAAACAGACACACAGAACAATGGTACAAAATTGAGAGCCCAGAAATAAACTCGCACGTATATACATGGGCAACTAACTTTTGACAAAGGAGCCAAAAATATGCAATGGAGAAAAGAAATCCTCCTCAATAAATGGGAAAACTGGAAAGCTACATGCAAAGGAAGAAAACTAGACTGCTATTTGATATCATAAACAAAAATTAATGCAAAATAGATTAAAGACCTAAATATAAGACCTGAAACAATAAAAATACATAGAATAAAACAGTTCTATTTCTAATCTAAAAACTTAAAAAAGAGAAATGTATGCTGAGTGTTTTAAACATCCCTCACTAACCATACAAGGTTTGATTTTTTTAAGTTACATTTATAAAAAATTTCTATCAGAACTATTTTAACATGCATGTCCTTTTTCAAATAAAAAATAGACTATACCAAATGCATAAAATAATATTAGTCAAGTAAATTCAGTGTCTGAAAAATAAAACAGTTCTAAACTTATGAACCTTGGTCTCAAATAGGATTTTATGAACTTGAAATCAAAGGCAAGGGAAATAAAAGCAAAAGTAAGTTAATAGGACTACATCGAACTAAAAAGCTTCTGCACAGCAAAAGATACCATCAACCAAAGAAAAACACAACCAACTGAATAGGAGAAGATATTTGCAAATAATACCTCTGATAACAGGCTAATATCCAAAACATATTAAGAACTCATACAATTTTAACAAAAATGGGCAGAGGACCTGAACAGTCACTTTCCACAAGAATACATACAAATACTCAAAAGATATATAAAAAAGATGCTCAGCTTCACTATCTATAAGGGAAATGAAAATAAAACCACAATGAGATACCACTTCACACCCGTTACAATGGCTATTATCAGTAAGATGAGAAAGTAACAAGTGTTGGAGAGGGTAAGGGGAAAAATGAACTCTCATTCACTGCTGGTGGGAATGTAAACTAGTACAGACACAAGGCAAAAAAAATCAACAAAGTCATAGATACAGGCCACGGGAGGGTGGTTACTAGAAGCAAAGTGGGGTGAGGGGAAGGGGAAGAGGGTAAAAGGAGTCAATTTATGCTGATGGAGGGAGAGTAGCTTTGGGTGGGGAACACACAATGCAGCACACAGATGAGGTGTTACAGAATTGTACACTTCCAACTTATACGATGCTGTTAATCAGTGTCACCCCAATAAATTTAATAGAAGATAGCAAAAACAAGAAAGAAGTGACAAAGATAAAGTTCACTATAAATTTTAATCCACAATATAAATGTTAAAGACACACTGAACATCTTGTATTAGAAAATAAAATATAATCAGGTTCAACTTTGTAAATTCTGCTATGGCACAAAGAGATTTCTTTCAGATCCGACCTTGTAATTGTGTTCTGTTTGCCTTCTTGAAGCACACCATAATAGCAAACTGTTTAAAGACTACAAGTAAACTGTTAAAATGATTGTCACAGATGTACTGTTTACTAATTCAAAAAACACAGTTCCTTTATTCATTTTATTCACTGATAAATTTCCTTACGTAGAATGAAATATATTACTCCATGCTTATCATGAAATAGTGGCTTCTTCTTCCAGTGTAACCAGGAAACGAATGATTACCAAGGACAGGAGGAAACTTCCGTTTTAATTCTATCGACACAGCTGGCTCTCAGGCCTGCTGTCAGCAGCGCTCAAAGGGCACTTTTCCTTGCGGCAACAGCAAATCCACAGCGCTCGCAGGAAGTATGGCAAATCTAATGGCTGTCAGCATTGCTTTGGGAATTTTGAGACATTAAGGTGAATAAAACTATAATCATAAGGTTTAAAAAGGATTATTAATGTCCTATTTCAGAAGATTGACAAGTTCTTAAAGTTTGTTGATATTCCGTAGAATAGCAAGAACTTCTAAACATTTTAAAAATGTTTTAAGATTGAAAATTACAGTTACATTATTCAGATTTTAGCCTCATTAAATGAAATTTCAAAAGTATTTAAATAACTGATAAAAGGCTGTAAAATTTGGGTTACGTATTATCAATTTTTTAAATATAATTTTCAAAACATGTCTTAGCATAATGTAAAATCCATTTTTACATCCTTCTTGATGATACCTGGCAGCTCATGCCTCACTCCCCGCAGTGCTCATAGAAAGACGTGTGTGAATAATGAAAACAGAAGATTTCCTGGCCAGAGATGGGGCTTCTTCTTCCCCCTTTAAAACTCATCAGGCTCTCATGTGCCAAAAATGTTACAAACCTTACACATCCAAACACAGGCTCATCCCAGAGGGGCACATGCTCCTAAACTCTCACATCTTTGAAGACACAAGAGATGGAAAATATAAATGTCCCCTTTTTGCATATATAATACTCAGGTGTGCTTCATGAGTATATGAGGATAAAAGAAACAATTGGATTTTCATCTTCTATTTTGCTACCTAGTAACATACGACCCAAAGTTGGTAGAATACTACCAAGAGAATTACACAGTGATTGGCAAGCTGGCCTAAAATAATTAGGCTGTTTATTTATAATTCCCTTTTAAAAGTTGTCATTTGACAATAACTTCAATGTATAACAGCAGGTAAAAACAAAAAGGAGGTGTCATGCTATATTAAAATATTCCAAGGTAAAAGAAAGTACAAAACTTGAAAATAACTTCATTGCTATAGACATTTAGAAAGTTATAATTATTAAAACTCTGAATAAAAAGGTCTTGAGAATAGGTACATCTCAAAATAATAGTTTATACACTTTGGGAAAAATAGGTATATTTCAAATAACTTGAAGTATGATTTACAGATTCCATACCATCTCTAAGTTCCCCCCCCAACAATGCTGTTTTGCTTCAAAGTCTCTCATATTCAATTCAGTAATTGCTTCTTTAAGCTGAAATAATATTTTGTTTGTTCATTAACTTTCTGTATAACCCATCTGGTTTTAAAAGCAGTTCTTTATGTTTCCCACATTCAATAATTTTTCCTTGGTCAAGAACAGCCACCATGTTAGCATTCTTGATGGTAGACAGACGATGGGCAATAATTAACACTGTTCTTCCCTCCATTAGTCGATCTAGAGCTTCTTGTACAAGGTACTCATTCTCGGCATCCAAAGCACTTAAACAGGAAAACCACGTGAGAAAGCAAAGACGTCAGAGTCATGCATACTGTGTACTCATGTATTTCCTGTTACACACACAGTGAATTTTCTGTGTGATAGAATTGTAACTTCTTGGGTCTTCTACTTTTATATTATAAAGACACTATTAAAAAAAGAAGATTGGGACTCTAGATTTCTATAGAACTACTGTCACGTAAGTAGAAAAATGTCTGCACTGTAGCCGATGAGAGTGATTAGGGAGTCATCACAAATGTGTCTGTACTGGAACTAGAACACTCAACTCAGGGCTCAGCCTGTCCACTGCCTCCCAACTGTCATTATCAATTCAGACTCAGTCCCTTTAAAATGTAGGGGGAAATGACATTTTCAGCTGTCACACTGTGAAGTACAGAAAAATAAGTCATTGATAAAGGAAGAATTTTGTTTAATACAATTACACATGGTATTAAGATATCCTTACCTGGTTGCTTCATCCAGGAGAAGAATTTTGGGATTCTGAAAAAGAAAAACATTAAAGAGAAAACATAATTTTATTAGCAAAACACAAACTTTCAGTAATTAAAATAAACGAAGTACTGTACGTGATACAATATGAATGAATCTTGAAAACATTCTGTTAAATGAATAAGCCAGACACAAAATGCTACCTATTGTATGACTCTATAGGAAGAGTCCAGAGCAGGCACCTCTATAGAGACACAAAGTAGATCAGTGGTTACCTGGGGCCCGGTCGAGGGGGAAAGAAGGGAGGGGTGTATGTGTGGCTGCTGAAGAGCTTGGAGTCTCTTTGGGGATGATGACAATGTTCTAAATTTGGTTAGTATGGTGGATACACTGAAACCCATTGAACTGTACCCTTTTAATGGATGAATAGTATAGTATGTGAATTATATCAAAATAAACTGCTACAAGAAAACTGTAAGTGTCTGAGATAAGCAGATAAGTGACAGAGTTAGAGGGGACTTGAAACTATTATCACAGTAATCACTGGGCTGGGTCTTGTTCCTAGTGCAGTTCTTTCCTGCTGGCCAATCAACCACCAGTGTGAGGGGGGATCTATAGCGACTAAAATAGTGTCTAGACTCTCAAGGTCCTGCTTATAATTTAGTTGGGAGTATTACATGAAACAAAAAAAAAATAAGAGTAAGCTGATGTATATAACACATTAAATTCTAGCTTTGCCTAGAAGTTTATTACAAGAAGTGCAAACATGTCCACACAAAACCTTTTACACTGTTCATTCACAGCAGCATTATTCATTCTCAATGGCCCCAAACTGGAAACAACTCAAATGTTCACCAACCGGTGGATGGATAAACAAATCATGAGAGAGCCACACCGGGGACTACTACTCAGGAAGGAACAGAGTTCTGGTATGGGCTGCGGCTTGGAGGAACCTCAAAAACATTGTGCAAGTGACAGAGGCGAGATGCAAGTGACCATATTTTGTCAGATTCCATTTCTCTGAAATGTCCAGAAAGGCAAATCCAGACAGAAAGCAGCTTAATGGTGGCCTGAGGCTGGGGCTGGGAATGGGGAAAGGCTATAAATGGGCCCCAGGAGTCCTTTATAGGGTGACGGAAATGCTCTTAAAAAGAAGAAGAAGAAATGTTCTTTTTTTGTTTTGATTGTGGATGGCTGAATAACTATAAATTTACTAAAAGTCAATGAAAGTACATATAAAACTGGTGAACTTTATAGCATGCGAGTTATGCTTCGATAAAGCTTTTCTTTTTCTTTTAAAAAATCATCTATACATCCAAGAAGAGTAGTTAAATAACAAAGGGGAAGACTATCATTTCCTAAAAATACAATGTCTGCCTTTCAGCTAAAATGGCTTTTCCCTCTCCTCTTAGAAATCCTGTACAGGTATCCTAAGTCCGCATTATTCGGTCTAGCCGTGGATTACGGGTCATACAGGTGAGCCTCGTGCGCTGGTCCGATGCTGTGACGTGCGCGCGGCCGCACTGGCAGGACTGGGCGCTCCGCGCCGGAGGCCGACGAGTGGGACTCGTCCTGCCCTGCCAACGCCCGCGCGGCGCCGGCCTCCTAGTGCCCAAGGAACGTGTGTTAAATGTGGACAACACGCACTCCATGGCAGTTCTCCCTCATCTTTCCCCAGAACTGTCAACCAAGTGTCTACCCTCCCCTTCCAAAAAGACAGAAGAAAAATAGTAAGTTACAAATTACAAAGTCTCTAATTAAAAACCGCAACAAAAGGCCTTACCTTAAGCAGGGCCCGGGCAATTGCAATCCGCTGCTTCTGCCCACCTGACAAAGACAGTATTTTTTAAAACAACTGAAAGCCTTCACAAAAAATTCTTATTAATTGGCTTTTCCAGCAAGCCATGTGGTAACTTGAAGGTCGCTTCTTCCAGTTAGTCATAGCTAAGGTAGGTGGTAGAACAGAAACCTGTTTGTAAATACATTGTCTCATTAACCTCAAAATTAAAAACAATTATTATCATAGCTAACATTAACTGAGGTGTTCCTATGTACCAGGCATTTTCTTAATGTATTATACACATTATCTTAGTTTTTGAAAAATCCCATGAAGTAGATCCTGTTACTGCCCCCTTTTTCTGCCCGATGATGAAAACTACGCCCCGGGCGAGCCACAGGATGACCCGCCCAAGGCCTCGCAGCTGAGGAGTTCAGAGCTGGGGCCAGAGCCCGCACAGGGCGCCTGCCTCCCCGGCAGAACCTCCAACAGAGCGCGCAAGCCCGGAGCCCAGGCTCCGCAGGCGAGACCCGCAGGTGCGGCGGGCGCAGCCGGCAGAGGGCGTGCAGGGCGCCGCCCCTGAGCGCCACTCTCGGGTTCCTGTCTTCGTCTCCCCGTCCGGGGGTGGAGGGGGAGGTCGGGGGGTGGGGATAGGCGCATACAGAGCGGTTTGTGTGCGTGAGTGACAGGTACGGTAACATGTAGAGTACGCCACACCAATCCTCTTCCTAAAACTCGCCTTCTACTAAAAGCAAGGGAACCAACGGGGGCGAAGGGGGTGGGGCGCGGAGGTTGCAGATGGGGCAAAAGCAGACAGGAGCAGGGTGAGCAGCCAGTCCCGATGATTCCCCTCCTTCACCCGTCTTGCGTCGCCCTGTCTCCTTTGCCCCCGGGGACACCACTCCTGCGTGACAACTGGGAAAGCCTTGGAGAGCAGACCTAGGATTCACTTCCCTAACGAAAACAAGGACTCAACTTGTTTCGGTATAGAAAACTCGGTCTCATTTTTGGTGATGAAGATACTCCTTTTTGGTTGATGTTATTGGCTGAAAGTACTTATTAATAGTAATTGCTGGACATGACAATATTTCGAGTGCGCCATTTCTAGCTGCAACATGTGGAGCTGCTAACAGCCGACCTCAGCCAGGCAGCGCTTCTCCAAAAAACCCTCGGTGCCATGCCGTGCACTGGGCTTCTACTGCCACATACATGCCCTTTCTCCTGGGAAGCCGGCGTGGACTGAAGCCTTTGGTTAGTCTGCTCCAAAATGGGGCTTGAGAATCTGGGCAGCGGGAAGGACACACAGAATCTATTCCAAGAGCGAAGGTGACAGGCGCAGGGAACAGGGCGCAGGGAGCTCCCACCCCACTCCTCGAGGCTCAGTAACGTCCCTGCAAGCGGCCCGAGCTGGCTTTCTTCTGGGGACGCGTTTCAGAGGCGCAGTCGCAGTTCAGGTTGCACAGCAATGTGTGACTCTTCTCCTGGAACTCCCCCAATCTAAAAAAACACTTTTCACCTACTGCCCAGTTTTGAAAAGCCACACACAATAAACTTCAGACATTTTGGGTGAAATGTTTTGTGGCCAGCACTTTAAGGAAAAAGTTCAGCGTTGAGCAGCTGGGGCGGCCCTGCTCTGACAGGGAGGCCTCCCCGCTGCCCATGGAGCTCGTCGTCCTGAGAGGGAGAGCGATTCAACATTTGTAAGGAAACGCCAAATCTGCAGCTACCCCGTTAAACCTTCATCTCCCCTTAAGTTCTGTTCATTAGCCTGCTCCTCGCCTCTAAGGCAAGAGAAAACATCTTTCCTTTTCCTCCCGAGAGTCTGGCATCCAAAAGGGACCCCCTCCGCCAGATGCGCTCCGAGCCCCAGGAGCGGCGGCCGAGCCCGCACCGCACGTCTTGTGTTCGTCCGGCCCCAGGCCACGCAAACTGCGCCAGTGGCCAGGCCTGAGCCAGGGTCTGCATGGCCCTCAAACTAGGAATGGCTGGCACATTTTACTCAGCTGTTTAAAAAACCAACAAAGAGGAATACTAAGTTCGGAGACTACATGTGGCCCATAAAACCTAAAATGTTTACTTACTCTCTGGCCCTTTCTTGAAAAAGTTGGTCGACCCTGGCCTAACCTGTACAGTGAAAACTGGGGAATGAAGAACTCTTTCAATTTCAATCCTGTTCCTGATTCAGTCCCGGCCGCCCTGAACAAATCACCCTGCCACCCTGTATGTCTTGTTTTCTACAGTTTTCAAGGATCTCGATTAGCAAAACACATCATTTCTCAGGTGAGAGGAAAAGCTGCTGTGGCTGCTTTAGGCGGGAATTCGGGCACATCTCTGGGGTAAAAACTGAAGGAAACTGAGGAGCTGTCCACATGCAAGAGATTTTTAGAAAGTGGAAAACCTAATTTCATAACCTCAAAGGACAAAAACCTGATTAAAAAGGAATAGTGCAACAGGAAATGTCTGGGGATGTCTTAGGAGCAGAGAAATTTTGCTACGGAGCAGCAGTAACAGGTACCTGAAAGGAGAACACCCTTCTCTCCAACCACCGTGTGGAATCCTTGAGGGAAATTGCGGATGAAAGCGGCTGCGTTGGCCACCTCAGCCACCTTCTCTATCTGCTCGGCAGTCACCAAGGAAGGGTTGTCTGCACCGTAAGCAATGTTCTCAGCAATTGAGCAAGAAAACAAAATTGGTTCCTACAAAGTGGAAATAAAACATTTATCGCAAACTTCAAAACAAACATCATACATGTCTAATAAATATTGTGGATCTTAGTATGGTAATTGTATCTAAGAAACTATTAAATTGCTCCCAAAGACTATATGCTAGTTTCTTTGTTCTACTTCTTCATTCTTCATAAATTCTCCCAACAGATTAAAAAATTCATGTATTACTGTAAATAGGATTGATTTTATCATCTGTGGTTCCTACCACACTACAGGAAATGAGCTCCCACAGCAGATGCCCGCACAGCACCTGGCACACAGTAGGCACTTCATAAATGCAAGTTCGCTTTCCTTGGGAATCGTGAGGCCCTGGAAGACCACAAGCCCACCTGCGTTTTCCAGCTGCCTGCCTTCCTTCCACTGAGGACATTACTATTTGAAATATACACAAACCAGATGGAAACGTGGCATTTTGACTCTGTGGAATGATCCTAAAAAGCAAACTTCCAGCTTTTCTCCATCCCATAAATAATATGCACCACTGATACCCTGACAGCACCGAGCCACCCCCATCACTGCCTCTGACCCAGTAGAAGGGACTCAGGGTCAGGTCTGAGGGGAAGCTCAGCAGATGCAGGGGCTCGGGTCTGTCTGCTGTGCACATAGCCTGGTAATGAAACGTAAACAGCTGTGTTAAATTTCCCTGCACCAAGCGGTCTCATGAAAGCAGCCTCGTTACAGTGACCATATCACATTAATACACTGTCTTGGAAACTGCAACCTCTTGCAAGGGGACCCTGGCTCTTTCCTACCATAGTCTAGGCTTGTTTTTCGCCAAAAACCTTTGTGCCCAAGAGCAGAGTATGGGTGGTAATAAAAAGGGGAGTTGGGGAAGAATCCAAAGAAGCTAAAAAGTTAGCGTTTCTCCCCATCTTCTAGACTGTCTGCATTACAAATTCACGTCGGTGTCAGCTTTTGACAGGAAGTCAATGCTTCGCCTGGATAAGGGGACAGAGGTCTCGAGGACACAGCAGCACCTATCAGCCTAGACTATCTGCCCTGTGAGACTGGTTTAATACCTCTGGAAAACTTGTGCTCTTTCTCCTTTGAGAGGTGCTAGACCAAGCAAAAAGCAAAGGACAAAAGCAATTTTAAAAGAAAGTACAATAAAAATAAACCCCTTTCCTCCTACCTGACTCACGGCCCCAATCTTGGATCTTAGCCAGACTGGATTTAGCTGACGGATATCATGGCCATCGAGGCTGATAGTTCCTTACAGAGAGGAAAGGAAAGTCACAGCATCATGACTAGCGAATCACAGGGCCAACGACTCATGTAAACACAAAAAGGGTCTGGTGGGAAAATGCCAGACTCAGCTTTCAAAAGATTGGAAGTGTATGCAAAATCTCCAAACAGACCTAAACCAACATACACCATGGGCTCTCCAAGCTCCCAGGGCCCTTCCGGGTCCCCCGCACCTGCTGGCCCTGCAGTGGTCAGCTGGTGGCCCATGGCGCTCACCCCGCCCGCCCGCCACCCTGCAGAGGCCGCAGAGAGCTTCCCGGGGCGGCTCAGGGCCCCACAGGAAGATGCACCTGTGCAGAGCTTTGACTTGGATGAGATGTATGTGGAAGAGGTGCAAGCCCTGACGTGTCGTATTAGCAAAGCCGGCCGAGCTTTGAGGCTGGCACCCAGGACCGCGGCGGCCCCACTCTGCAGCCTCCGGACCACGTCACCATCAGCGACTACCTCAGAGGCCTGGCTCTGCAGTGACGTCCTGAGGAGTGTGCTGGAAGTTCAACTGGGCCAGTGATTTCTGAGCTCTTATCACTCCTTAAAATATCCCTTCCTGCATAAACTCAGCTGAAGGAGAACCTGTTATCTGAAATGAAGAACCTGACGGACACTGTGGCAGGACGTTTAAATAACGAGATGAAACGCTGCCCTTGGCTAACAGAATTAATTCTGCACAGTAAAGGACCTCGATAATGTTGGGTGACGACGGTGACAAGCGTAAGAAATGCCACCCCTTCTCAGTGAGCGGTGTGCAATTATACAAGGCAGCTGTAAACGCTCCTAAGCTGACAAAAACCTGAGGTCTTCCTTTCAAAGTACAAGTACTCTATGAGCACCCATGATGAAGAAACTGGAGAATCAACATTTTGACTTTATTTACACAACCTCACTAGGATTTTTCTAGACTCAGAATTGAGAGCAAGTAAAGAGTAAATCAAGGCTGTGACCCTGGAGGCAAACGGCGTAGTGGCGCCCATTATACGCAGCTGGTGACTCTGTGGTTAAGACTGCAAGTCAAAGCAATTGCCTAGCACATAACCAGCTCTCTCATTGTTTTAAACAAAAAAAATACAGGTATAAAGACAATAAGACATACTCTTTTTAAATTCATGATTTGATTTTTACTAACAGTTGTTTTCTTGCTGAAGAATATCACTGTTTTCTCAACCCAAAATTAAATCAATACATACAGAATATCTACTTGAGGATCTGATATGAAGAAGGATGTAAACCTTGTCACTATGTGTGGAGAGGGATGTAAACTCGACATGTTGTGATCATTTTGCAATAATATATACAACTACCGAATCATAATGTCATATACCTAAAATGTGTTATATGTCAATTATAGCTCAATAAATAGGATATAAAAAAGTAAAATAATGTGTTCTTTGCTCTAAAAGATGCTATAGTGTGGCTAAACATAAAATAAAAACCAGAATGAGAAAACTCCATTAAGAAAAGGCCGACTTCCTCAGGAGGCTCCCGTGGAGCAGCCACGGAGATGGGAATCACTGAGTGACAGATCCTTTTTGCTCAGGAACCACCGAGATTCCAGCGAGCTCCCCAGGGCTCTGGACTCCATCCACAGCTCTGGTGGGAAGCGGGGCGTGACGCTTGTGGCTGCTGAGCAGCCTCCCCTGCCCCTGTGCTGGGAGGGGCATCAGAGACCCCCGCGTAGGAGAGGAGGAGGAAGAATTCTGGCAGTCACTCAGGACTTGAGGTCTGACTGAAACATACAAAACGCCTGAAGGGCCTTTTCTGTGAGCTGCCACATCCTGAAAAGGGACACCTTTGTTGGAGGGATTTCTTCCTGGGAACAGAGCCTCTGGCACTCCGAACTCTCACACTGCACGTTTGCATCACTTGGCCCTTTTTCAGGGCACAGGAGTGAAAGGGCTCCGGACAGTCCTCCTGCCCTACTGTGTGGTGAACTCACCGGAAACGGGGTCATACAGCCTCAGCAGCAGGGAGACCACCGTTGATTTGCCAGAGCCACTGGGGCCGACCAGCGCAGTGACGGATCCTGATGGGATAGAAAGGCTGAAATCCTGGAATATGGGCATCTCTGGGCGAGCCGGATAGGTGAAATGCACATTCTTAAACTCCAAAGTACCCTGGAAGCTTTTCTCATTCAAGACAAGCCCGTCTGAAACATAAGATGGAATACTAATTAGTTAACGCGAAGACCACGGTCACAGCTGAACTCAGTTCCCACTTGTCTGACTGCAGACGACGGCCCCCCCAACAGCGGGTGCTGGTGTAGGCGCTCCTACTGGGCAAGTCAGGAAAAGGCCTCTGTCTCATGCTCAGCCTGAGCCCGCCCCGCACGCACTCTGTCCCTGGCGCTGTGCACGAGCTGTCCTGGTTGATCCTCACAGCCCTGAGGGGTGGGAATGACTGCCGCAGCTCCACGGACAGGACACTGTGGCTCAGAGAGAGCAACCTGACCAAGCCACCAGGTCCTGGAGGGAGTGTCCAGCCTCCCTGTGCCGCTGCCCCTGTGGCTCCCTTGCCCCGGGGTCGATCTCATCTCCTCTCAGTCAGTGTTTTGAGAGAACAATGATACACACATGGGCACTGTACCAGAGCCATGGAGCCAGCGGGGATCCGGGTCTAGGCTGTCCTGGTGTCACCTTGGGCTTATTTCCGCCAGCCTACGATCCCGGAGAATGCTGGGTATTCGCTAACAAGGCCCTAGGTGTCGGTGAGGGTTTGAGAGTGGGCGCTGCTCACAGACACTTCCCCTGAGCCCTGGCTTCCAAGGAAGCAGTGGATGGAGGAGACAACGCTAGACTAGACAATTAACATCAGCATTCTCCACCCGACAACCAAACGCCAAGAAATTTAGGGGCCTTTATATGTGTGACGCCTCTTCCTTCCCTCCAGTCCCCCACACAAACACTGAAGTCACTAAGGAAACAAATCTGGTGGACTGTCCAGGGCCCTTTCTATCAGCACACCTGGGCTGCCATCCTCCTGTCTGTGGCAGCAAGTCACCTGCAGGGCGGTAAACACTGGGTGGCGCACCGTGTGGTCACCCCATCCTTTCAGGGACGTCCCCGGGCCCGCCAGCAGCTGTCCTTCCTCTCTTACCTCCCACCCCTCTTCAGAGCCTTTCTTTGCCATGGGACAGGGATGACGTCCTCATCATGCCTCTCCTTCGCAGGCAGGGCAGGGAGCTGGCCTACCTGTCCAAAGCCGCATTTGTTTAACCCCAGCAAAAAAGAACAAAGGCATTTCAGACTCACCATTGAAAGGAAGCTCGGGCTTTCTCTCAAGGAGCTCCCAGAGGCGAGCCCCGGCGCCCAGTCCTTTCATCAGCTCCGAGTAGAAAGAGCTCAGACCTGAAGATGAAAAGCTGACATCCGTCACTGGTGCCAGGACGCAGACCCCTGCTACTCCCTTCCAGCTGGGACAGGCGACCACCTGCTTTTAATACAAAACCTGCTACTTTCAAAAAAGGATCTGAGGCAGCTCCCTGGACCCCATGTTCAGAATTCCCTCTGTCTTATACCCTTGTTTTCTTTCAGTTTCTCCTCCCCCAATTTCATTGATCTCTAATAAGGATTTAATGGTTGATCAGGAAGTTTACAAATACATATAGCCAAACTAATCAACCACTGAATTACAATCACAATGTTACAGAGAAAATTCTACCTAGTCAAAAACAGCAATATAAATAAAATATAATGCTTATCCTATACTTAAAAGGAAAATAAAATATCCCAACATTCATTTTAAATTCATATCCACTAAAACCAAGCCTCCTTTTCAGGCACTCAAAAATTCAACTTTTACTAGGCTAAAAACTAAAAGGAAATTTGGTAATGTTAAATATTTCAACAATCTCTTCTTAAAGTCTCCTTTGTCACATTCAATGGGTTATCTTTTTGTTTTATTGATGATTTTCTTTGTTGTGCAGAAACTTTTTAATTTGATGTAGTTCTATTTATTTTTTTCTTTTGTTTCCTTTGTTCAGGGAGACTGTCAAAAAAATAATATTGCTAAGATTGATGTTAAAGAGAGTTTACTGCCTACATTTTCTTCTAGGAGCTTTATGGTTTCAGGTCTTACATTTAAGTCTTCAATATACTTTGAGTTTATTTTTGTATAATATATGATGTAAAAGAGTGATCTACTTTCTTTTTATTTTCTTTTTGCATATATCTATTTGGTTTTCCCAACATCATTTATCGAGGAGACTGTCATTTTCCCATTGCGTATTCTTGTCTCCCTTGTTGTATATTAATTAACCATATGATTGTGGGTTTATTTCTGGGCTTTCTGACTTGAACAAACATTTCTCCAAAGAAGACATACGGATGGCCAACAGACATGAAAAGATGCACAGCATCACTAATTATCAGGGAAATGCAAATCCAAACCACAATGAGATATCATGTCACACATGTCAGAATGGCTATTATTAAAATGTCAGCAAATAATAAGTATTGGGTAGGATGTGAAGAAATGGGAACTTGTGAGCACCGTTGGTGGGATCATAAAATGGTGCAGCCACTATGGAACACAGTTTGCAGAGTCCTTAATATATCAAAACTACAGAATAACCATATGGCTTAGGAATTCCACTTCTAAGCATTTATCTAAAGAAAATGAAAACCCTAATACAAAAAGATATATGCACCCCCATGTTAATTATAGCATTATTTACAATAGCCAAGATATGAAAGCATCCTCGGTGTCCACTGACCAATAAATAGGTAAAGAATATATACACAATGGAATACTATTTAGCCATAAAGAACAGCGAAACTTTAGCACTTGTGACAACATGGACCAACCTAGAGGGTATTATGCTAAGTGAAATAAGTCAGATAAAGACAAATACTAAGTGATTTCACTTACATGTGGAATCTAAAAAAACAAAACAGAAACAGATACATAGGTACAAAAAAAATGATGGTTATCAGAGGCAAGTGGAGGGAAGGGGTGAAAAAAATGAAGGAAATTAAGAGATAAAAACTTCCAGTTATAAAATAAATAAGTCATGAGGATATAATATACAGCACAGGGAACATTGTAATAACTTTGTACCCTGACAGATGGTTACCAGACACATTGTGGTGATCATATCATAAGATATATAAATGCAGAATCACTATGTTGAACACCTGAAACTAATATAACATTGTATGTCAACTATACTTCAATAGAGCCACCTTTGAACTAATTAATTAATTAAATAATTAATGCTTTAATTACTGACAAACTCCAAGTACACTGGTCCTTGTCAACTGCCAGAACATACACTTGTAACACTTTCTCTCCACAAGGATGCTGAAAAAAATGCAATTCAAATATCCTTCCAAAGGTATATTTGTGCATATTTGTGAAAGATGCAGGGGATTAAAACTTCCAGGTTGTATTAAAGGTGCATCGGGCAGAAATAGGCCCCCATAAATACAGTCAACCAATCTTTGACATATGGACAGAGGCAATTCAGTGGAGCAAGGATAGTCTTTTCAACCAAATGGTGCTGGAAAATCTCTGTAATTCCGGCTCAGTTTTGTCATGACCCTAAAACTCCTCTTAAGAAAAGTTCATTAACTGAAAGGAAGAAAGAGGGCAGAGAGAGGGAGAGAGAGAGAGAAGGCGGCAGGAAGAGAGGTGAAGGGAAGGAGTTAGTGCAACACAGTGAAGAGTTCAGACTTTGAAAGACAAAAGCAAAATGGCCCTGGATAAACAAAATGTGGCCTCTTCATACCTGGAATATTATTTGGCCATGAAGTTTAAAAACATTATGCTAAGTGGAAGAAGCCAAACACACACAGACACATACTATGTGATTTCATTTATATAAAGTACCTGGAATAAGTAAATACACAGAGACAGACAACAAGGTGTGGCTGCCAGGGTCTGTGGGAGGGAGGGGTATGGAGACAAACTGCTTAATGAGGAGGAGGCTTCTTTTAAGGTGATGAAAATATTTTGGAACTAAATAGAGGTGGTAGTTGCATAATGTTGTGAATGTAGTACATACCACTGAACTGTTAACTTTAAAATGGTTAATTTTAAGTTGTGTGAATTTCACCTCAATAAAAAAATAAGGAAATAAGGAAAAATCTTCTTGGGGTCTACAGATGTAAGAACATTCCCTGGTACAAAGTAAATAAGCATGCTTTTTTCCAAACAGCACTTCTGACCCTCTCTCAGCAGAAAACAGTATTTTGAAAAATCTTATTTATGCCTTGCTTGCAGATCCATTACAGAATCACTTTAAACAATGGGCCCCACAAAAGCAGTTAAAGTCCAACTCAACTCGTCCAACCCAACCCCTGGGGCCTTGGTACCATCCAGGTGGTAAATGCGGGGAAAGCGGCGGCATGGCCCCTGCAGACCCACCCACACCTCACTCCTCCATCCCCGGACGCAGGCACCGTGCGAGGCAGCTGCCCGGGGCTGCGGGGCAGCCTGTGACTGACAGAGTCAAGCTGCCCTGGGGTTCTGTGGGCTATGCAGCGCCTTCGGTGCCCAGGAAAGGTAGCTGACCCGTGGGGGAGCAGCCTGTTTCCAACCTACTTCTTGGCACGACTGTGAACTTGTTGGGACAAAAGGCAGGGCGGTGGGACACCAAAGACCAGAGACAGTCCCTATCAGGTCAAGTGGTGCGGAGAAAAGGCAGTGCACGCAGAGGAGGGGCAAGAAAGAACAAATCAACTGTGGCAGAAAATGTGAGATCCGCGGAGGCCAGGAGCAAAGCCGACAGCGCACAAGTGTGGGCTGGGACCAGAAAGGCCGCAGAATGGGAAGTGGTGGCCGGCAAGCCCACTCTGAGGTGGGACAGAAGACTTCAGGGAACGTGACCTCACGGGTGTGGGACCCTACAGCCCAGCAGGCTCAACCCAGGGCGTGGAGAGGAAAGAGCGACACCGCTCTCGCTGGGTCCTCCTGCCTGACCCTCTTGCTTCTCAAACCACTCAGCCACCTGAGATGTCTTCATCGGGTTTTTCTTCAGACCAGCCCGCAGAGCTAAAATGCTACTTTTAGGCATCTCTGGAAATCTCGGTCTAGACGATATCCTCACCTGCCTGCAAATGTCTAAGGAATAGTCTCTATCTTTAACCAGTAGACACAAAATTCTGAAAATAAAAACCTCACGCTGAGGTGGGGTTCTCAGATTTCATTAATCAGACCTCAGACTATTTATCTAAGCTTTCCACCTTGGTTTTCAAAGAGGAAGAAAAACAAAGAGCAGGAAATCGTTCAACCCTTGTTGGCTGGGGATGCAGGAGAGGAACAGTACAGAAAACTTCACAGGCTTCACACAGCTCTGCTCCCCTCACCCAGGCATGGACAATAAAGGCTGAACTCAGAGAGTCTTGACAAAAGCAAGCAACTCTGTTTCAAACACTTTCTAATTTGTATTTTTTGATTGTTCAGTAGTTTTGGACACGGTTGACTTTGCACAAAAGGAATTTTATTCCGTAGTCATTTGCCAGTCATGGAGCAACCCCTACCATAGGACTGTGGGTTCCACTGCAACCTGTTTGGCGCTGTCCTTTCTCCTCCCCACATTCATCCCATGAGCAAAGTGAACGAGCTTTGCAGGTTAGAAAACACTGCTCCTGAGTGACCCTGCGCTCAGTGAGTGGCAAGTGGCCTCCAAAAGTCCTGAACTTCCCGATCAAGGAACTGCTCGCCTATGTGGCAGCATCACACTCATATCTTTTTCTTTTAAAGTCAGGCTGGCATAACATTCAAGGACACGGTTTTTTCAGGGGAAGTTAACTGCTGAGAGATGGAGTAATAGGAAAGTTAAGTTCTTATCTCAGAAACTGGAGTCTGACATTCTATTTGTAACTCCCCAAGCCTATTTAAATTATATACCTCCAATGCTTAGTCCAACCCAGAACGCATACATCAGGAAGGAAGAGAGTTCACCCACGGTCATGTGGGCACTGCCCATCAGCAGCCCTCCTTTGTACAGGACAGAAAGCACAATCAGGTTCCCGGAGAGCCCAGTCTGTCGAAGGAAGAAAACACAGAAATCAGGGGAGAATCAGAGACCCCAAATGTAAAAAGCATTAAAATGGCCTATAATTTCCTGTCTGCATTTAATTATCACAGCAAGGTTTTTCTAAAATATTATGTTTTTATCTAAATTTCAAACAACGAATATGTTTTGCCCCAGCTGGTGCGGCTCAGCGGATTGAGCGCCGGCCTGCGAACCAAAGGGCCGCAATCCGATTCCCAGTCGGGGCGCCGGCCTGGGTTGCGGGCCAGCTCCAAGTGGGGGGCATATGAGAGACAACCACACACTGATGTTTGTCTCCCTCTCTTCCCCTCTCTCTAAAAATAAAGAAATAAAACCTTTAAAAAATTTAAAAAATACTTTTTTTGACATATTATAATATTAGAAGAAATAATCTCATCCACATGGAAACCTAGACGCTAAGTCACCCCTCAGATTCCTAGTGTACGCCATCTACTCAGTCTGCAAAGGAAAAAAAAAATATCAAGGATTCCTTCCCTACCTGGAGGCACTATGTACATAGCTAGCACGTGTGTTTATACATTGTAATGTGGCACATTGCGCCGAGGCTGGACTGAGAAGCTGGAGTCCTGGGTCTCTGATCCCCCTTGGCCTGTGTTGGATGTGTGGTCTCTGGTGGGCGCTGCCTTCTTTGGGCCTCTGTGTCCTTATCTGTTGAGTCATGGCCATTCTCGAATCATTTCTAAAGTCGTTTCCAGTTTGAACATATTATGAATTTGCCCTCATGGTGATTGTTCAGTGTCCAATATGAGTTCCTTGTGATCAATGTGATCAGTTTTTTTATACTTCCTTCCTGAAACACACTGAGGTTATTTTGGTTAATCCTCAGTGGGTCTCAAACTGCCTGCACCAGAATGATGTGGAGAAGCTGTTGAAACACAAGTTGCTGGCCCCACCCACCGAGTTTCTGACTCGGTAGGTCTGGAGTGGAGCTGAGAGGCAGCATGTCCAACCAGCTCCCAGTGAGGCTGATGCGGCCAGTCTGGACCACACTTTGAGAATCAGTGTCTGATCCCTTACTGTTCGGTCTTACCACCCATCCATTGCTTCCTCTTTAATTACATTTTCTTTTTTCCCTCTTCATTCACAAAAATACTTTAAGAAAGGCAATTCTTATTCTTGAGGTAGAATAGAATCATTTTCCATTTATGGCAAGAGTCACAGAATAAAAATCTCTCCTAATCATAACATCTACCTTTCTCACTCTATCCAAAATGATGTACTTACTGCTCCGAAGAAGCCAGCCCGAGCAAATGCCTCTTTCCTCGCTAACTGCATCACATAGTCCACTTTGCTGTTGTATTTCTCCATTTCAGTCATTTCCTTCCCAAAAGCTCGAACGGTTCTTATATTTCCAATACGTTCCTCAGCCAGCTGGGAGAATAACACCACCATTTCAAGGGGAGCAAAGTCACATGTCAAGATTCCTAAAGGCACAATTAAAATGTGGTTCTCGTTTTTAAGACACTGTCGATGTAAAGTGGCTTGTGATATATGACTAAGTCAAAAACAGGTTGCAGAGGAGAGTATAAAGAACAATCTTATTTTTGGAAACATAGATCTACCTACCTTTATGCACATCATATAGAAAGAGAAACGGGGGGTAGATAGCTAGATACAGAAATAGATCTTTATGCAGAGGAAAAGATATATTAAAAGAACAAAGTCTAAGATATTAATGACAATAACTGAGAAGTAGGACTATGCATGTTATTTTTTCTCTTTATATTTTCAGATTTTCAATGAGAAACATTCATGGTTTTTATAATATAAAAATATAAGTTATTTTTAATTTTTTAAAGAGACAACATTGGATAGCACTGCAAAGCTACCTTTAAATAATAAAGAATAGTGTTATCCATAAAGTGTTTTGAAAACATGGTTAGTATTTTTGTTCTAAAAGAAACAGTGATGGCAAGAAGTAAGTCCATACAAGGTTCAGTTAAGTTGGATCTACTTTGACACATGGGTAGTAACCTAGTCTAGAAGGCAGAGTATTTTAGGTATCTAGGATCTTGGGGTCTGGAAATGTAAGGAAAAATAAGTACTTTTTGAAAAGCTGATTCCTTAGGGTCTGCCCACTGGTGCCTTGGCTCTGAGCTCATTCAATGGAGACCATGCTAAGGAAGGGCCTTTACCTGAGTGGCTTGTGCCAGGGAATCCTGAGTGACTTTGGTCAGTTTCCGTAGGTATCGTCCATAAATCACAGCGAGGATGGATATCGGAGGCACCACACTCAAGACAAAAGTTGCCAGATGAGGTGAGACAAAAAACTGTTGAAAACAAAAACCAAAAGGTGTTTGTTACACAGAGTAGCAAAAAGTTCTAGCTACTGTAGGTGAGTGTGTGTTTCAGGGGGTGGGCAGGCTTGAAGGTACTGTCTCAACGTTGTACATCCTGCACTGGTGGAACGTTTCAGGCACTGTCACTCTTCATAAAACCCTTGAGTCTTCAGCATGCCACAAAGGAGTGATGCGGTCAATTAAGGGCTGCTCAAGAAAGGGTGGAAGTATCCTACCTTCCACGCTGCACCACTGCCGGTACAATGCTGTGTACGCGAGGCCATGCCGCTCAACGACAGGGAGGCAGAGGTGGGGCGGCGTCCTGCCCACGCTGCCCGGACCACGCCAGGAATTCTGTGTTCAAGTCTGGATTGCGTCAGGGACGCTGAGCCAGAGCACTGTGCCCCACTGAGATGACTAAGATGGCAGAGACCCAAAACACCTGCATCATGTGACAGGCAGATGAAAGAGACGCAGGGGGAAGATAAAACTAACAAGTGGAAGGAGAGTTACAGTGGTTTCCATGGCTCAGTGGACTGGAGCACAGTGGATCTGAACTCATTATAAGGAGGAGAGTCCTACAGCTGGAGTTGACTGAAGAAGAAATAGCCAGCTTCTAGAAGCAACACGATTGGGTTTCCTGTCAACCCTCAATGTGGTGATTGTATTCTAAACTAGCAGAATACCAGCAGTACTAGCATCTACTAGCATTACTAGCATCTAGTAGCATCTACTAGATTATACTAGCATCTCTTCACCAAATTATTAAAATCTGCCAAATCTCATTTGCACAGAAAATAGTATAATCAGTACAAGGCTGACCTAAAATGTTGAGAAAAGGTTGCAGACTGAAACGTAAAGGAATGGACAGAACGACCAATCATTCATTCACTTACTCACTCATCCAACAACTTGTTACCAAATGCCTACCTGCAGCAAACACTACCTCAGGCGCCTGGGAGAGAAATGACCTGCATGGAGTTTCACCCAAGGGACGGGGAAGCGGACAGTTAGAGAGCAAGCAGAAGAAAGAGAGGGAATAACTTCAGGCGTAACATGGTCTTAGAAGAGCACGTGAGGCAGGAATGACCCGCCCTCAGCAGAGAGGCCACGCAGTCGAGCAGGGCACTGGGACAAGGGTCGCCGTAGGGACACGTGCGGGGGGAGTGATGCAATTGGGGGAGGCCGGACCGTCTGGGCCTGAGTGCACGCCCACCCCAGTGAGCCGAGCACACGGTGTCCTCTGTAGTGGAGCAGGAACGCCTGTCGGGCTCCCCAGCACCCGAGGGGTCTGTCGCAGAACGACCTGCCTCCCCCGAGCAACAGGCTTCTGAGGGCTACTGCAGGGGCCTGTCCCCACAAGGAACGCAGGAGCAGCAGGAACACTCATCCGCGTGCTAGGCAGGAAGATCCTGCGTCTAGGTGACCGGACTGGCAGTGCGGCAGGGACACCGTTCAGTTCTGGTGAGTAGGCTAACCATCAAGCCGGTGCAGGGAGCCGTGCCAGAGAAACGGCACGTACTGCTGCTCCTCCAGAGCCAAAGACCAGGTCCCAGGCAACACCGCCGGACAAGGCCCTGTGCTGGGCTGAATGTTGGTGTTCCCCCAGAATTCGTCTGCTGAAGCCCTAATCCCACTGTGGCTATATTTAGAGAGGGGGCCTCTAAGAAAGTAATTAAAGTGGAATGAGGTTATCATGGTGGGGCCTTGATCCAACAGGACTACTGTCCATAAAAGAAGAGACACCAGAAAGCCTGCTCTCTTCACACAAGGACCAAAGAAAGGCCATGGGAGAATACAGCAAGAAGGCAGCCACCTATAAACCAAGAAAAGAGGCCTCAGAATGAGCTTACTTTGCCAACACTGTGACCTTGAAACTTCCAGCCTCCAGAGCTATGAGAAATGAATCTCTGTTGTTTGAGTGACCCAGTCTGCGGTACTTTGTTATTCCGGCCTGAACTAAGACAGGCCCTTTCTGATAAGCCAGCTGAACTACTATGAACCATTACAAAAATGGCTCCCAGCTCTTCCTGAGCCCCAGGACTATTGCTATTTGGATGTGAGCCTTTAATGCAGGAGAGGTCTTCTTCCAGAGCTTCGCTTCTCTCTTGGCTGGGAAGATATGAGATTTCAAAGCTGCTTTCCATTCCATAAGTCACATGTAAAGGCTCACACTGGCAACGCGTTGTTCTGCTCTGGCCTAGGCGGTCTGGCCTGGCTACATGGGATGCAGAGGACAAAAACCCAGGCTTCTCCACTTGTGAGAAAGGGTCAGTTGCAGCCCCCATTCTACAAGTCTAGAACTACGCTGTCTAAAACGACAGCCTCCTATGGCTGTTGAGCACTTGAAAGGTGGTCAGCGTGCCTGAGGAACTGAGCTTTGAATTTTATTTAGTTTTAACATGTTAAAATTAAAATTTAAGAACCCATGCTCCATTTCTATTTAGTCATTGGGTAAATGATGAGTATGTCTGGAAAACTTGGTAGGTATGTCAATCTACTTTTTCAACAGCAAATTTTATGAAATCTAAATATGGATCAAGTATTTCCAATGAAAATCTAACATCCAAATTAAGATGTTTTATAAGTATAAAATACACATTGGGTTTATGAAAAAATAATATAAAATACCCGATTAATAATTTTTATATTAATTACATGTTGAACTGATAATAAAATATATTAAGTAAAATATATGAGTTAATCTCGCCTTTTTGCTCTTTATAAAGTGGCTACTGGAAAACTTTAAATTACACACGTGGCTTGTACCACATTTCTACTGGCCAGCAGCGCAGGTCTGGGAGGAACGTGGTTTGCAGAAGTGAGGCAAGCACACAGCAGATGCTCAAGCCATTCCATTAGGAAAGGATCAAAGGCTGGGGCGGGGGACAGAAAGCGTTCCCCTTAAAGGAGGACAGATCTACTTCCGTGCCCAGGAGGACCGAGTTGGTCGTCCCTTCTCTGAGAGGAAAGGAGCGATCCCTTGATCCCCAAGATGGCAGAGCAGTTTCCCCGCCTTTGGGGAAGGGTGTGTAACTTCCTGTCTTTCCCCTAACCCACTGCTCAGCGTCCAGAGGGCGGCTGCCGCCTGCTGCACTTTTCTGCCTTTCCGCATTCTCAGAAAACCCAGGCCACAGCATCATCTTTCCTAAACCCAACGGTCCATTCCGCAGATAAGGTCTCATTCTGGGGAAGTGCAGGTGCCAGAGGCCACGTGGGAAGAGGCAGTCTCAGTGTTCCTGCAGCCCCTGTAGCCGCGCCCCCGGCTATGTGGCTACCGAGTGATCAGAACAGCTCACCCTGAGCCCAGCTCATGCATGAGGGGCCTGACGAGAAGGTCTCCATGAAAGCCAGGCCAACATACCATCATGCCAATACCGACGGAGGCCTGGGCCCCGGCCCGGAGCCCATCTGAGAGGTTTTCAGTCACCGAGCGCCCCAGGAGTGCAGTGTCTGAGGAGAGGCGGTTGATCAATTCTCCTGTGCGAGTCTTGTCAAAGAAAGCGACCTCCTGCCTCAGGACGGAGGAGAATAACGAAGCTCTCAACCTATTCACAATGCGCTGACCTGCAAAAGCAAACAGACACTGTGTCGGCTTGGGTCCAGACTCCCAGGGCACAGCAGCCCAGCCCACATCATCGCCTCCACTCGGCGATACAGCCTTGGAGGCACATCAGTGCCCTGCTGATCCCCTGGAAACGGGCTCGCCCGTGCCCTGGCAGATGGACAGGCTGGTGCTAGTAACTCTTAGTAACTCAGACTGTGGGTGCTGAGGAACGGCGGCAGTGATACCATAAACATAACGTGACTCAGAGATTTTTAAAAATCATTATTTACAAAGAAGTTTTACTATGTTAGCCGATCAAAAGCTAATTGTGTTCTTCCTTGGCAACCCTTTTCGGTATTGAACTTACAAATGGTAACAACTGGTTAATTGTCTACTGAGTATTTATTTTGTTAACTAAATGCCAAGCAGCCGACTTAGAGTCGGGCGTCCCAGGCTCAGTCATTACCGCGGTAGTAACCTGCCTCTTAACAGCCTGGCCTGACGTAGTCACGCTGTCAAACTATCACCCAGCTCCTACGAAGCGGGGAACGCAAGTCTGGAGCAACTCCCAAAAGAGGCCCCCCGGCTCCAGCCCCCTGAGTGAAGGCTTTGTTCTCAAACCTCACAGAACACGAACAGGGCTCTTTCCCTCACCGCTCAACTCCCATTCATGGAGAAGGAAAATTGAGAGGAGAGCACCTGATCTAAAGCAATTCATGGCTCCCACATCTGGCCAGTGTCCCCACCGAATGAGAGGAGGAAGAGGGGAAGAGGCTGGGGCCCGGAGCACGGGACACCCACATGGCCCCCCTTCGCGTCCTCCAGGAGCCCGCCCACCCGGGATGAGGGGCCTTTTCACCTGAAGTTTGCATGAGGTAGACACGAACAGCGTTGGCCGCAGCACCACACAAGAAAACGCCGCTGAGCGCCAGGCAGAGGCGGGTCAGGCCGCTGCCATAGTCCGCAGTGGGGCTGGTGTAAATGATGTCAATGATCTTCCCCAGGAAGAAGGGAGCAGACATGGTGATGACACTGGACACAGCTAGGAATCCAACCGCGGCTGGAAAACACAGGCCACTCTCAGGCCGCTGGCACCTCGACAAGGGGGCAGGGCACGGAGACTTTCCTCCCTGTGGCTCCCAGACCCTGGCTCAATGCAAGAGCCAAAGGGGTTCCAGGGCCAGAACAAGTGGGGCATCTGCGGGAGGGACCGATCTTACCCGGCACCCCAGTGAACAGCTGTCTGCATTACCCCGATCTGACCCTCTCCACCCAGCAAGGAAGGACAGTGCTAACTACAAAAATCCGCCTGCCTTTCCCTTCTGCCCGCTGATATTCATCTCAGCTATTTTTTTCTACACTCATGCTATTCATTGTTATTCCCTGTATCTTAGCTTCCAGATGAAATTATGCAGCTAAAGCTCTTGCTTATGTCTAGTATTTCAAAATACTTTAAATAAACTTTAAATGCACAGGCATTCATTACACACGTGCTGTGTCCTTAATATTACTGCTTTGGGGAATAAAGCTCCAGAATATCAGCCTGACATGGAAATAAGTAAGAACACAACTGTGCGCACACCTGAAAAATAGACAAAGGGGATAGAGTCTTATAAAAAAAGAGAGAAAGAAGAGACTGAGAATCTTCAGTTGGTAACGACACACATCACAGACGACTGCCGTCATAATAAAAGGAACACAAACTACAAAGACGGGCCATTTTCCATGCACCGGATAGGTAAAGGTCACAGCTGGACAACATGCCAAGCTGGGGAGCTGAGGGAAGAGGCACTCACACCGCCAGGGGCAGCGCAAACGGTAGCATTGCGATTGGTAGTGATTTGACTGTCTTGGTCAAAACAGAAATGCATGTTCCCTTTGATCTAGCAATGCCACCTCTGTGAGGTTAACTTGTACATTCCTATGTGTGTCTGCAAAACTCTGCATTCAAGCACTTTCAGTAGAGTATTGCTCATCCCAGCAAAAGATTCAAAATACCCTAAATAGGCAGAACAAGTTAAATCATTCGTGGAGCATGTATTTTATACATATCATGCAGTCATTAAAGAGAATGAGACAACTCTGTAGTACTGACAGGAGCGATCCACCGAAATATACTGGGAGTGAAAAAAGTCAAGGACACAGATGCTCACATTCTGGGGAGGGGGCTCTTTTATTTGGTTTTTCAAGGCTGCATACACATGGAACATATTGGGAGAGGAGCAAGAAGCAGGTAACACAGTCCCTTCCATAGAGTGGTTCTGGGTGCTTGGGGGGCTGGACATGTGCCCCTGTGAACCTTTCTGCGTTTGGCCCTATCAGGAACCCAATTAGTGCCGCCACTAGAGAGTCAATGGTCAGCGAGGTTCCTAGAAGAACACAACATGGATTGAGCCCCCAGAGACTGGAGTTCCCAACACCGTGCAAACAGCAATTGCTTCTGTTTGCCTGACCTAACACTTCAGTTAAAGGTATCATTTTCATGTGATCTTAAAAACACACTTTGAGTAAACTCAGTATCAACCGGTTATTCAGCTCGCAAACAGAACTCTAGATGAAATGTGAACCTTTTAAGTAGTGAACATGTCACACAATCCCTCTCTTCCTTGAGATTGTCTATGTCCTCTTCCTAAAGCCTGTTCTGCCTGGTATCAAGCACAGACGCCCGACGCTGCCTGCCTTGCTCCCTCTTCTTTCTTCTGTGGCACTTCACACCTTTGGGTATTCGAAATGTTTCTCTTGTTTACTGTCTCTCTGCGAGGACAAGCAAGATTTCGGTGTGTTCACTGCTGTAACCCCACTGCCTAAGGGACAGGCACATGGCAAAAGCTGAATAAATAATGAATGAATAAATAAACTGAACTTTGACAAGGGAGGCATAAAAGTGTATCAGACCAAAGTTCTGATGAATAAATAAATTGAACTTTGACAAGGGAGGCACAAAAGTGTATCAGACCAAAGTTCTTCAAGAGCGTAACTAGGAATGTAAGATCTGGCAGCTCGGAAAGTACACATGGAAATGACTCCTTTGCACACAGCCAGAAAGTCCAGGGCCTGGCTTAAAATCCCATAATCACAATTTAACTAAATGATGTGAACCTGGCCAATGGCCATTTCATCTTCTTGTAGGAACTAGTGTCTTGTTTTCAAGTGCCAAGGACTGAAAGCCCAAAGGGCAGGGAAGCCGTCTCACTCGGGGTTCTGCAGGGCACGATCCCCATGGGCTAGCACGCTCCGGAAACAGGCGTCCGGGTGAACTGGGGATTGACTGGAAAGCCCCGGATTTCATCTTGCGTTGGGGATTAACCTTTCAAGTCTTTCTTTAGCCATGGGAAATACCTCCAAAAGTGTAATATATGTGAAGCGCTGTACAGATCCATCTCTCCCTTCTTCCTGTAGTTCTAAATCAAGGTTACGATTCCAAAAGAAGAATCTGTATTTCATGAAGGAAACGTCCCATGATTTTTGATTCTGGAAACTAGTTCTTACACGGTAATGATAACAATTACAAAGAGGAAGGAATTTAGCTACTCCCAAACTCTTTCCAGGATACCCCCTCACTTATTTTTTCACTTAATTAAAAAAAAAAAACAGATTACCAGCTTGTTTTATTGCCATTTGACTCTTTTCTCCGACAGGCTGGCTGTAGACAAAGGTAGAATAAAAGACTTGTTCCGCTTTTGGTGGATCTTGTTAATGCAAGTTTTCTTATGTATTATTGCCTTTGACATTAGTGAATAATTTAGGCTTCTCCCTGAACTCGACAGGCTGAGCCTCTTGCAACACTGAAGTCTTCTCCACCTTTTCTCCACGGTTAAGTCTCTTACTTACTCCTATCCTACAACGAAGGGATCTCGGCAACTTCTCTGTCTCTTGACAGTTTAAAATATCTTTCTGTTACCCTTTTCCTACTGAATTGTGGCAGTTGGTGAAAGAAAGATTCTTCAAGAAAGAAAACCTAAAATGTGGATGGCTGGCTGAAGGGCTCTGGGAGACAGCTTGTGGAAGGACAGAGGTTTAGGGCGGGAGGAAGAAGCTGACATGCCTACTGCCTGCTGTACATGGGGTAGAGCTTTTAGGGAGTCACCTGCTGAACAACTACAGCTATCCCCGCTGTCATTCAAGGACTAAAGACACAGCACTTGGAATCCCTGGCACTATCTGAAGCATCTGATCCGCATTATCTCCTTCAATCCTCCCAACAATCCTCTTGTCATTCTGGGTTTTTCAGAGAGGAAGCGCAAGCACAGACAGGTGATGAAGCTTGCCCAATGTCGCAGGACCACATTCTGAGGCAAAGCCCACCTTCGTCTTCCCACATTCCAAGCAGAGACAAAGCACAGACGCAGCCTGGGGGTTAGGGCAGGCCAGGGAGAGACAGGCTGCAGGGGAGAGCTGCTCCAAGGGCCCCCCAGCTCAGGGAAGAGCACCAAAGAAGGAAGGGGGAAGGTAACAGGTTCTAGATTATACAGTAGGTTAGGGAACGTGCTGCAAAACAGGCTGAGAAGGGCCTTAGGTTATGGAGCGATACAGTCAGATTTACATTTCAAATAATCCACTGTGGCTGCTTGCAGAGTGAAAGGAGAGGACACTACAACAGCAGACAGACAGATGGATGGTAAAACACTGTTCCGGTCAGGTGAGGGGGAACTAGGGAGGAGTACTGTGGGAGCAAGGGATAAGGAAGGTGACAAGGACCGGAGATAGTTTGAAGGACAAGACTCTACGGGACCTGATACTGGATTTCGGGGGGGCCTCTGCAGACTCTATGGGACCTGATACTGGATTTCGGGGGACCTTTGGAGACTCTACGGGACCTGATACTGGATTTCGGGGGACCTTTGGAGGGCTGTTTCTGAAGTTGGGGCCGACAGGGTCAGCACCCTAACTCTGCCACCTGGCTGTGTGACCAAAGCACTCGAGCTCTCTGTGCTCCAGTTTCTTCATCTGTACAGTGGCAATAAAAATACTAGCTTCCTCATGGAGATGTTGTGAGCTGTCAATTAAATCCACATGTAGTGCAGTGCCCCGTATCTAGTAAGCAATAAGTATTTGCTATTATCTTTATTACTGTTGTCACTGCAAGGAGTCAAGAATGACCGAGCACGTCTGGCTTTGGCAAAGGTGTTCACACAGCGGTCCCCGTTCTGAGATGCGACAGAGGAGAAAGGCAGCCTCAGGGAACTTTGGTTTGTAGTCATGTTAAATTCTCAGGTGTCTCGTGGACATTCTGTGGATCCAGGTGGGTACTATAGGCAACAAAGGAGCAGGGGAGTTGTGCAGCTCAGAGGCTGAATGCAGGAACCCGACACCTGGGCTGGGAAGAGGAGGAAGTGAAAACCCGAGGAGCTGAGCGAGAGGAAAGGCCTCAGGCCCACGGAGGAATCTGTGGAGCCAAGACCTGAGCCCGGGCAGGTCTGGTGCAAGGCTAAGCTGCTGGCGTGTGCTGACGAGGCAACGGTCAGGCCTGGTGCCACACGAATGGCAGGGAGCCCCGCCTTTGACTCCAGCACCCGCTGTCCTGTGGCCGCATTGTGGCAGCCATCCTGTGTAATTTAGGATTTTCCAGTTGCCACATTAAAAGAGTAAAAGGAACAGGTCAAATTCATTTTAGTAATACATTTTATCTGATCCAATATATCCAAAGTGGTAATCAACATGTAATCAAGATTTTTGAAAGTAACGATAGTTTACTCTTTTTTCATACTAAGTTCTTTCAAAATCTGGTGTGTAATTTATACTTAACACCAGTGTCGACCAGCACATCTCACAGCCCAGAATGCCAGTGCGTTCTCTGAAATACGGCGTCCCCGCAACAAACATCCTGGCTTTCCCGAGCAGTCCTCCTTTCAAAGGTTCGGCCACACTGTCTTTGCGTGACCTTTTGCCCTGACTTGGGCATCAGGAGACTGTCATTCTAAGCACTGCTCATCCTCTCCTGGCTTATTGCACCCAGTGGTTTTATACTCTCCATCGGTCAATTCACGGTCTGTCTTCACAAAACATAATGACAAATTCAGCAAAAGCGCCTGGCGGGCAGCAGGTTCTAAGAATGGTCCTAATCTGAAACCACACAAGCCCTTATCAGGAGTTTCCGGCGCCCTCCCCAGTCCTCCCCCGAGGCCTCAAGCCAAGGGGACACGGGGGTGTGGAGGGATGGCTGTGTGCCTCTCACAGTTTGGCTAGGAAGCTGCGCGGAAGTGTGGGGAAGGCCAGCGGCTCTGCACACAGAGGCCCACCCCGCCAGATCTTGCAAGCTGGAAGCATGATTATAACCTCGCAGGACCCTAGGCACACAGCCCTCACTCCAAAGGCCCAGCTTGAGGCACCCTGTCTCCGGCCTGACTCCCTGGGGTGGTCAGAGACCTCAGCAGCTTCTATCTGCCAGGTGCAGCAAGAGGGCTCGGACCTATGGCTTCTTATCCCCTCAGTGCACACGGGCCTCCTAGTGAGCCCCTTCATCTTTTCAGACTCCTCTGGCCAAGGTGATAAAGATGAAGAATTATCAGTGAAAAAGGGCTGGAGAGCCACTGTGCCGGTCCCAGCTGTAAGGCAGATAGCTGCGAATGCCCGCCCACAGTGAGATGTAGCAGGCAGGGGCAGGGGGCTGGGCAGGCCAGTAATGTGAACACATCTGTAAGCGTTGCAGGCCGTTTTTAAGTTTCTGATACAAATTACTTAAGATCAAAATTTTCTGGTCACACAATTCAGGGGCTATATTTGCAAACTGAAGCAGCTGAAAGCATTATTATTCAGGTGCACAGCTGATTTTTTTTAAAAAGATTTTTGTATTTGTTTTTCTATAAATTAACAAATTAACATCGGAATTCCTTCAACTCAGTTCTCTTCGTTTTGTTGATTAAAAATGAAGCACGTGCGCACACAACTGCTCTTTGTCTCCAGCACTTTAGAGATGTGCCAACATCTGGGGCTGCTCTTGTGATGATAGGTTACAAATTAATAATGACCCCTCACTTCATTTTAATCCCACTAATGCCAACATCCAGATTAGCTTCAAAATATTATCTGTAATGGCTTCTCAGGAAACCATGTCCTAATAAGAGTTTTTATCAGATTTCTTTATAAGATACAATATGTATTATGTGTTTAAAATTTTTTTTAAATTAAAAGTGTACAACCCCAGACTTATTTCGTCCAATGTTACGTTCACAATTATTCAACATGACATATCAAATAGCTCCCCTTCTTAAAACAAAAGGAGGTACAGTTTGGGCCTTGTTTGAGGCTGTCGTCTCAACATATCAGCCTGGCAGGACATGCGGGGACATGGTAAGAAGGTGCAGAGCTGATGGTCATGAGAGAGGCACGGCTGGGCGACTCAAGAGGGCTGAGCATGTGCAGCACCAGGAAGCCTGACACCTAAAATCCTTGACATTCACTATTTCAGAAACGAAACAAAGCCGGCTGTCTGTCCTCTTTGAGTTGCGCGCAGAGTGGCAGACACATCCTGCAGTGCTTGGGGTCTTTCACGTGAGGCCGCCATTGGGCCTGCGCCTACCACCCTTCATTCCTGCATCGGAGGCCCTCTGAGCCCTGCCGTGTGCCACACACACTGAGGACCAGAGAGGGGGAGGGGAATCAGGCACAGCCACTCTCCCAAGCAGCTCAGTCCATGGGAGCAACTAGTTTCACAATTTTTTTTGGGGGGGGGGGTAAGTCAAACCTGTGTGACTTCATTTTCCACATTCTTTTTATTTTTAAAAAATTTGTACTGATTTTTTTTTTTTTTTTTTTGGAGAGAGACATGGATTTGTCGTTCTACTTATTGACATATTCACTGGCTGCTTCCTATTTGCATCCTGACTGGGGATCGAACCCACCACCACGGCATTCCGGGATGACCTTGTAACCAACGTAGCTACCCGTCCAGGGCTTCAAAATTTTAAAAGAAAAGAGGATCTTCATCTCCATCAAAAGCTACATACAGCCAAGCAATGAAATAATTCTCTTTACTCCTCAGGGATACGAAGGATCCCCCTAAGCTTTGACAGTCGGGGGGAGTAAAGTGCTCTCAACTGTAACTGCTCTCCCTGGCAGCCCCAACCTGCCCAAATCCCAAATCACTCTCTAGGAGGGGTGTCCTAAGGCGATGGATCTGCAGCAAAGATTGCGGGATTCTCCCGGGTGCCAGGTGTTGCAGGTGGCAACAGCCTAGCAGGCCCTCAGCACAGATGCAGTTTTATCCTTAGCCATGTGATTATTTCATTAATGACCCCCCTCCCCCCAACACACACCAAAGGGGAAGTCCCAGCTGGAGCAGAAACCAGGTTTCCTTCTGCTCACCAGTGTAGCCCCAGGGCCCAGCACACAATTAAAAAATGGAGATGTAGAGAAATCTGGAAAAAAATTGCATTTAAACATTTCTCTAAGAATGGCTAAAAATGAGGAGCTATAGAAAAAAAATCTGTGTCTCTGGATTTTATTTCTAAAAAACGTTCCTTTACTTTTAAAAAGGACTCACGTATGACTTAGTTGCGTTGTAATCTAAAGTTCCTCAAAACTTCTGGAATTCACAGATCTGTAACCATCGAGGCCAACAATTCTGAAAAGTGTAACCACCTACTTATCGCTCAGGGAGGCAAAAGCACCGGGACAAATCGGAAAGGTTCAGACTGTTTTTGCTTCACAGGGCAAAAATATTGCCTGCTGAATAAACTTGCCTCAAGCAAATAATGTTTTAAAATTAATGTAAGTACAAAATAGGTATGCCTTTGGCCAGAAGTAATTTCTAATAATAAGAGATGTGGGGGAGGGGGCGACCCAGCTGATTTTGAGAATGTTGACAGAGCCAAACAGGAACAAGGACGAAGAGCCGGATTTCTAAAGAGACAGTGCTCCCCTTGGATAATGTGTCAAGCTAAGCAAACAAATATAAAGGGGACCTTCAAACAGGTGTTCAGCTCACCTAAAAGCCTTGCCTGACCACTGCGAGGTGAGCGCTCCGTCCAGCCCTTCTCGGTAAAACCCCCAAGTAAAAGGCCACCCCTTCCCTCCTCGGCGCTGCGAGCCGCCCAGCGTCTTGCACTGTTCACTTTCGGTGGCCCCGCAGTGCCCTCGTTGGAGGTCCCGGGACCACGCGCTTTCTAAGGCGTGCTGGCTGACAGAGGGGAAAGTAGAGGACGAGGACCGGAAGGGCCCTACCTGCCAACCTCCGGCGTTCGGGGTACGCCAGCCCCAGGAGCTTCTGGGCCTCCGAGCGCCTGGCCGCGGCGGGGCGCAGCCGGGAGTCGTCTTTGGGATCCGCCGCGGCCGCAGGCAACGCCGGCCGGCTCCGCCAGGCCTCGCCCCTGGCGCGGGCGGCGAGGGGTGGGCTGCCAGGGAGCACAGTCCGCGGGAGCCCAGTCCGCGGGAGCCCAGTCCGCGGGAGCCCGGGGGCGCCAGGGGATCGCGCCCACAGCCCCAGGAGCCGCGCGAGGCCCGCTCCGCCGCCTGGGCCGCCCGGACGCCCGCCCGGGTAGCAGCTCGTCCAGCGGTGCGGGTTTCGCGCGGCTCCCGCCCTCGCGAGGAGCCCCGGCCCCGCGCCCCAAAGCCGCGGCGGCCCCAGGCCGGTCAACTGCGGCTGGGACACTGGGGCGCGGGCGGCCGGTGTCCACGAGCAGATGAGCGGGCCCCGCCTCACGAGCAGCAGCGGCCAGGCAGGGGGGCCGCGCATGGCGCCGGGTCCGAGCCGTGTGTTTCAGCCCACCCGGCTCGGCGCGCACGGAGCCAGAGGACCCTCCCGGCCCGGCCGAGCGGAGGGCGTGCACTCGGCGCCGCCCGCCGCCCCGCCGCCCCGCCGCCCCGCCCGCTGTCACCAGCAGTCACCCGCTTCATCAGGCCGCCGGCCCCAGCGCCCGCCTCGGGCCGCGCACCACGCCCCCCAGAAAACCCACACCAGCCTCAGGCGCCCGCCTCATGGCGCCCCCCACTGGGCAGTCGAGCGCGTGGCTTGCCGCCCAGGTGGTTGGAGAGGAGAGAGAGGGAGGCTTTGAGTACCGCCGCGCCTGCGCACTGGCGCGCAGGGAACTTTTTCACGCTTCCCAGTCTCCTCCCGTCAGAACCCGGGAGAGGCGCGAGCCCTTTCTCACGCCTGCGGACTCGGCGGAGCGCGCAGACGCGATCACACGATGCCCGGCGCAAGGATGGGGCAGCACGACTGCGAGCTGGACAGGGCGGGCAGCAAGTCCGCGGCCCCGGCGACTCTAGCGGGGACGGGTCCTGTCACCCTACGTCCCGGTGCCGAGCACAGGACCGAGGCTTAGGAACACTGCTGGAGAGAACATCGCTGCGAATCAGCTCAGTTCTGAGAAGCGTTATGGGGAGGTGTTCGGTGAAGAGTGACATTTAGATAACTTTGAGAAGGGAGAGAGATCATTTTATAGCGGCAGCCGAAGTGCAGAAGCACACGTGGTGGGAGCACTCCGGCTGCTCAGAATGGAGACCAGCCAGAGTGCAATGTATTTTAATACCTGTGCCAAGAAAGCCGGAGGAGAGGACCTCTATACCCACCAGGTCACAAGGAGACCTCGTGGTGGGGGCATCTGTAAACTGCTCCCCTGTAAAATGCTCAAGGGCCAGCCTGGTTCTTACTTATTTAGTCGTGGTTGAGGATTGTGGATAAGCTTTTTATTGACTGGTAGGTATTTTTCAGGTCTGGACACTTGCTTCAATTGCAAGATATATGGGTTCGGAGGGAGAGGAAATCCTCAATAATCAAGATAAATATTTTAATGCAATATTTTTTAAAATCAAAATTAATGCAAAAAAAATGCATGATAAGCAATATCTCAAACGCAGGATCCTCCCCTGCACTTGCAGGATGCTGCCTCTCTTCTTACCCTAATTTCAGCCCTAAAATCCTTATTAACAGAGGCGGGCCATTATCAGCTGGCCTAGTTTGCCAGTTTGTTTGTTTTTAATTCTTGCATTAAAATATTGTTTACTTGACTACTGAGACTTTTTAGGTCCTCCTAAAATTCCGTCCCCAAGAGAATGCCTCACTTACCTCACCCTACTTGGGGCCCTGGTAGGTAAGGGGTGTAGATTTTTTGAGGGAAAGTACCGATAATAGATAGTGTGGAATTACTGGGTTGGCCAAAAAGTCCATATTTTTTTTTCCATAAAATAAAAGACATTTTTCATTTTCACCAATAACTTTATTGATTTGGATACTTTGAGTATGTTGGCTCTCTCCTGCTATTGGCTTCTAGTGGGTAGAGGCCAGGGGTGCAGCTCAACATCTTCCAATGCATAAGAGAGCCCCCCAAGCAAAGCGCTTGTCCAAAATGTCAATAGCACCAAGAAACTCTACAAACCACTTTTCACACGTTTGATCAGTCACAGCACCTTCTGCATACACTGTACGAATCTTTTTTTGTTTGTTTGTTTCACTTGCATATTTACCTTTCCTGAAATAAACCATAATTCATCAAAAATGTTGCATATTTTCTTCTCTCTTCAATATTAAAATGGCTCCACAAAAATTCACCAATTTTGATCAGTTTTTTTAAATGCACACTGATAGGACAGCTGTCACAATAGAGCCATCATATAGCAAAAAACTAAAAGAACTTTTTGACCAACCCAATAAATCGTGGATGAAATGTTCATGCAAAGTGAGTACAAGGCATGCCATCCTTTGAGTTCTAACCTCTTAGACCGTGGCAGGCATGGAGTCCCCTGATGTTAACCATCACTTAGGTTAGCTTCTCATTGGTGTCTGAACTCTAGGATGCAGGGTATAGATTAGGATTGACACCACTGATTTGTGAGAAGGTATGTTCCTTCTGGGAAAGATTTTGTTAGGTGACTTCTGCAAAGAAGGGAAATACTACTCCTACCCAGCATCAGGCATCCAGTTGCCTGCCTTTTGAGTTCAGGGGAAGCAATTGTGGAAGCATACCATTCTATCTGTTGAAGAGAAAGTAACACTTTTAACTCAAATGTAACCTTCTTACTTTCTCTTTCCTACTTGCCAGAAAACTATTGCTGCTGCAAGGTCTGGGGCAGGCTGGACTGACCTTTGCTTTCTGCCTTCTCCAGAATGAGGTCCACCAGGCTTTTTCAGCCAGCGCTCCCTGGAGCGTGGAGTCAGCAGAGTAGCTGATTAAAAAAAACGAAAAGAAAAAAAAAAAAGAAAGAAAACTCTGTGTTGTTTGCATTTCTAAAAATCAGAAAATAATGATCCCCAACAAAATTGTCAAGTTAAAAAAAGTTCCCAGCTAGCTGTCATATTATATACAATGCAAGAATTATTTACTAGCATAAAGAAAATGTCCATGGCTCTTAAAAAATACAATGGGGGAATGAAGTAGGAAATTAATATTGACAGAAATATCATCTGGACGTATACAGTCATCACACCAAAAAAATGAACGTGCATACACACACACACACACACACACACACATATTCAATACATATTCAAATTGGGAAAGATCATAATAATGCAAAGCAATAACATATTCCCACTTGAAAATAAGGATAACTTCTCACTGCCATTTTAGAAACAGGATAAAATTCCTTGGCCACTGAAAAGGGCAACAAGTGCTCTAAGGTGTGGTTGGGGAGGAAAGAAGCAAAGCGCGTAGGTATGCGTGGATTGATAGTACAAGTACCACAGCAAAGCTAGGAAAGGCTGCATGTTGATTCTGAGACTCTGAGACAACAAGCAAAAGTTCAGCTCCCGCCCACAGAGACACAGAGAGGCCCTTGGCAGAGGTGTGATTACACCGAGTAATAAAATCTGGCCCTTGGTGAATAGACTTTTAATAGGTTTAGTGGCCAATGAGTGTCAAATTCAAAAAGGACTTCTTTTGACCGACACATGAGAGCAGTTGGGATTACTTCAAAACAGTTCCACCTGTGGGTTCTTGTCCCTCTCAAAGGGTGACAAGGGAGCTCATGAGGACACCAGGAGGGGGCCCAGGGAGCATAATGGCGCAAGAAGCAAACAAAAGTCTCCCTGGCCTGCGGCGACCTGATTGGGGGTCAGGTGTCATTTGACCCTTCTCAGTACATTTCTTTTTCTCTTGACTCCAGCTTGCAGCCCCCTCCTGTCAAGGGCAGAACGGCAGGGTGACAGCTACAGGTGCAGCATGCAGGCTACGAAGTGTTTGTAAATTCCTCTGAAGTCAGATCGAAGCTTCGGGTAACTTCCCTGTGTGCTTACAGCGATACAGTGATCGTGGAAGCTGTGACTTTGTCTCCTGAGAAATGGGACTCGGGCAGGCTGAACGCAGCGGATGCAGAAGGTTCAGCATCTTTGGCCTTCACATTCTCTCTCTTTCTCTCTCACACCCCCCTCCACACCTTCTCCCAAAAGATTCTAGAGAAATGTTATTATGGTTTGAATTGTGTCCTTACAAAAATACATATATACAGGGTAGGGCAAAAGTAAGTATACAGTTGTTTGTATGGAATATAATACGATAATTAATAAATAATAATACAAGAATAAACTGTGTTTTGCATACTCACAACTGTAAACCTACTTTTGCCCCACCCTGTATACGTTCAGATCCTAACCCCCAGTCACTCGGAATGCAGCCTGCTTTGGAAATAGAATTGTGACAGATATAATTAGTTAAGACAGAGTCATATTGGGGTGGCAGCAGGGTATCGTTATAAGGAGGTGGCCATGCGAAGACAGAGACGCACAGGGAAAATGCCACGTGATGAAGAAGAGATGGGGGCTTGCGGCTGATGAAGGACTGTTGCTTAGAAGGGAGGAAGCCAAAGGTGGGCCGCAGTCATCAGGGGCCTGCAAGGCAGCTCCGTGCGCGCCGGTCTGCACCGTATCCCAAGATGCACAGCGCAAACAGGCAAGGGGCTCCACTGCATGTGTAGCACTCTATATTTGTGTAAAAGCTAAAAATACACACTTCACATGCACTTATATTCATACAGGCACAGAACATACTTGGAAGGATTCAAAAGGAACAGGGGTTATCTGTGGGGAGGACCGAATAAGGGCAAGGTGCCCTTTTGTAACTTTTGGATTTTCACCATCTGTTCAAAAATAAGTTACAATTATGATTAAAAATTAAGAAAACAATGAAAGATAACCTCCTGTATTGGAAAAAAAGAGAAGAAAAATTTAAAGGCACTAAAGGATTACATGAGAGAAAAATGTGCTTCCCCTGGCCGGCTAGCTCAGTTGGTTAGGGTGCCATCCCAACAGGCCAAGGTTGCAGGTTCGATCCCATCAGGCACATACAAGAATCAACCAACGAAAGCATCAGTGAGTGGAAAAACAAATCAATGTTTCTCTCTCTCTAAAAATAATGAATAAAAAATTTTAAGAAATGTGCTTGGTGAGTTTGTTCAAATTTTTAAAGAGAAAATAATTTCCATGGTATATAAACTAATCTGAAGCATAGAAAAAGATAGACTTTTTAATTCATTTTATGACATTCATTAGCCCTGATGTTCACGCCTAACAAAGATAGCCTTAAAAACAAAAAACAAAACTGTAAATGGAAAAATTCTTAATAAAATAATAACAAATTATATCCAGCAGATTATTTTAAACATTCTTACTAAACTACCATGAAAAGAATAGAAATGTCACTTTGTACAATGCACTGCCCTGATAAAGTGTCAATATCAAACCATTAGCTAACACCATACTTAATAGTGAAACACTAAACACATTCTTATCTAACACAGAAATAAGACGAGGATGCTGGTCTTCACTGCCATTGTTACACATTGTGCTACAGGTCCTGGCCAATGGAAAAACAACGAAGA